TGTGTATGGGTAAAATGCGTGTGCTGTCGCATAAATAACACACCGTCACCATTAACAATAACACCAACAACTACAAAACTATATATTCACCGAATTCTACATTTATAGCCATTAGCGAACGTGTCGTGTGGTTTTCATTTAGTTCTGGGCGTGGAACGACGAGCAAGAGAATACGATAGAGAATCGAGGCTCAAATAATTGTGTTAGTAAAGCCATATGTGATGATAGTGTTTTAAACACACGGCTGACGCATAACAGATAGTTCTGGCTTCAATTTTTTCTTTATTTTTATTTATTGCTGTTTATGTTTTTGCTTCTATTGTTTTTTTTTTTTTCAAAAGTAATTTGTCGGTATCATATGTCACTGCAGCTGACTCGGTGTGCAAAGAATTTGCAATCGATAAGTTGTCGTGAAACAAAACGTCGAACAAAATAAAATGAAAATGAAACTTTGCATGTTTATTTCATGATTGCATCATCATCATCATCATCATCTATATCCAAACGCCACAATTTAATGCGTTTGTATTTGCGAATTAGCTAAATATAATTATGAATTTAAATTTAGACCTGATGTGGTGTGTTTTTTTCTTTCTACTCTTTACAATCATCAATGTCGGTTATTGTGATATTTCAACACATACATCGCGTGTTAAGATCCATTTTGACAGAAAAGAAGAGATTCATTCACCGGAATTCATAGTGGAACAAATGAATGCAGAAAATGATTTGGTCGTCAAGAAAATCAGCATTGAAGCACTCTCAGAAAATCAATAAAAGAGTTTTTCTTTGTCAATAATGGGGCCACAGCAATGGCGTACAGAGACATATACTATATTGAAGAGGATTCACAAAGTTTTACCGCATTACAATTATGTATACTACTATGATGAAATGAATTCACTAGATACATAAACAAAACGGTCAGTCAAACCGAACATTTCATAAACATAATCGAAGTTCTCTTTTATTTGAAATAGAAAAAAAACGAGAATAATTGACGAAAACAAATAACTCAACGGTTTCTTCAATTTCATTTGTACTGGACGATGAAATCAAATGCATACAATTGTGTAATAATGTCGTTTAAATTAAAGAAACAACAAATTGTCGAGTCAAAAACGGGAAATGAAGTAAACTATCGAAAAGTACAGAGAAAATGAACATTTTTTCACGAACAATGGAATGGAATAAAAATTGATACATGTTAACATTACACGAGATCGAAAATATATAGCAAACCGTTCTGTCGTTGATTTGATTTTTGTTGCGGTATAATTTGCGGACCATACATATGTAACAGCACAACTTGCGAATTCTCGCATTGACTCTTCAAACTAAAAGCAATTCATTCGTGTCGAAGCCTTTTCACAGTTTTGATCGAAAACCGTTTGTTCTGTTTTTTTTTTGCTTCTCCCATTGATTGTTTTGTATAGTGTCTGTTTCAATGTCACAAAAGAACTATGATATTGTCATTAGCAACCGGAATATTTGAATAAGCAAAATTACTTTTCACCAGACTCTAATGAAGATTGTCAGATCAGGTAGAAAGAATTCTGTTTGACACGTGCAAAATGTCAACTTTTGGCATTTGAATAACTGGCAAAACAATGCGACCTAAATCGTCATCCGGGTATAAAAATGGAACCACTTTTTTTTTACTATTCCGTTAGATCTCATTTTAATAAAATATTTTTACAAAACTATTCTATAGTTTGTGACACGTTTGTCAACTGCATCTTTTTGCTGGAAACGAAATATGAAAACGAAAGAAAATGTACTGACACGTTTGAATTCTTGAAAACTCAATAATGATTTTTAATTCATGCTTAAGTCTCTGATGGCGAATCAGTGATATTTTGTATTCCATAAGCATTTTTGTTATGTCACTAGAAAATGTAATAAGAGAAATTACATTTTTATGCCAGACCATCGCCAAAGTACGGGAAATAAAGAAAACGCATGCCAAGAATAGTAAAGCAATAAATATACTAATTGCTGAACGAAGCTAAAGCGCGAGAACGATTTGTGTATGTGTATGCGACACAATCGTCGACGAGTATTAATAAAATACAAGCAAGAACAAAAAACAAATATCAAGTAGAAAGAGAGAATGTAAGTGTGGTTTTTTATTCTTAGTAAGCGAACATGAACTCAAAACTATGTTCGCCGCATTGTTTTCGCGTCTGTACTTGCCGCACTTTCTACACACAAAAAAAGAAACATACACACACTGGCAAAGAGAGAAGGAAAAGCGAATGAACGAAAGAGCTGTTGATTTGAGTTTAGAACATGCATTTAAAGTCTGTTCAGTACGTCAATAGATACCATACACGTAGACCCTTTAGCAAAGAACCTTTTTTTTTCTTGTAAAACAATTGCGATGAGAGAATGCCGTATTGAAGATAGTTTGAACTGTTGAGCGAGAATATGAGGCGCGCGCGAGTTAAAACTACACAAAAGGCTGTAACAAGAAATGAAGTAATATACACTGCATATTCAATTCGGTTGAAAATACGGTAAAAAAGAACGTAATGTATAGTGTATGTAATATTCAGCTCTCGTGCTATGTCGTGTGTACGGTCTTATTCTTTCATTTCTCTTCGGTTCGGTGTACGCAATCATTGCGCAAGCGCTGCGACTACCATACTCCGTCTCTGTATGGCAACATCATATCAAATATATACTGTATAAATTTAGACATAGAATTTATATTTTAATAAAATTGAATTTCTCTTCCTCTATCTTTCTACGCTCTGTATACACGAAAGACGAACAAAAATAGACATTCCAAGAAGAAATTTGCTCTATTGACATGGATGGTGGCGTTACAGCCGAATCTACATTGTCGCATCATTGAAAATGTAGTGTAAATCAATTGCAGGTGCTAAGGTGCTAATTAGCTAGCAACTTGCATTCTTTTTTCACTTTGTTTTCATTTCGCATACCGTCGAAGGGTTGACATTGAGTCGAAATGTTATATTGGTCAAACAGTTGTTGGTCTTCTTCTTCATTTCACTTTCAATCCAATACTTAATTTATATTCACAAAAAAGAGTGGCAATAAGTAGATGGGGACAAAAACTCATTTCATGAATGAAGCTTCATTCAAACAAATAACTTTTTTTGATTGCAATTGATGACCGCTCGTTTAAACAGCACATACACGCACATCTAACATACAAATAGCGATGATCTAATCGCAAATTTTTTTTTCTATTTTTCATGTGATCATTTTGAGGGTGAAAAAACGAGATAGATGTATTCACGATAGATTCAAATGGTGAGATAAAAACGCGATTTCCAATTGAAACTTCCTTCAAAATTATTTAGATCAATTAGATGCTACAATACACCGTTCATTTAAACAATACTCCATCTACATTTGGATTCACTGTGTATTCAATTCGTGTGGCTGTTTTTTTGTCTCTGGCAAAATCGAAACAGCAATACAATAACAAAAAAAAAATGTATGGAGATGTTAAACATTCAATTGATCTGATTCGAAATGCTAGCCACCCGCAAAACTAATCGAACACTTATGCCGATTCGAATCGACAAGAGCAATGAAATCAATCATATTTCTTCAATTTGCGTAAATTAATTGAGCCATAAATTTTACGCAATGAACGTATTTTCAAGTGATTCGATTTAAATTAGATTCACCACATATTTCTGAGGGTTTATTTTTGGACATTGTGGTTTTTGCATGGTTCGCGTAATTTTTTTTTTTTTTTTTTTGTATTTTGTGCTGGACTAATTTTTATTTACGACTATATCTGTTGTTGATTATTTTTTTTATTTCACGTGATAATATGATCGGTTTGTCGCTTTGATGATGAGGAAATGCCGAAAAAGCGCGATAATTACATTGAATTGTATGTAGAGTAGACACACCTAAACAGTGGCACGTCAGCAAAATTTAGTTGTATGAAAGTGAATTAGATAATCGGTTGAATTTGAGACAAGAAACAGCGACGACCGTCCAACAAAAACATATCGCCAGTTGACGATAAAGCACATATTTGTACGCTACAAACATTTTTTTTTTGAAAAGAGAATTAATTCATTGCAAGGCTTCTCAATTATTTATATTTATCTTATCAGAGTGAAGAAGATTACCGCATTGCATGAACGTAAACCTTTTTTCAAATCCATTTTTAAAATTGATTTTTTTCTTCACATAAACATTTTGTCGTTTTCAAATTGTATTTGACTCATGTTATTGATTTTTCTGTGCATGTTTTTTTTTCGCTTGAAAATGAGAAACATATTTATGAAGTTTTAAGCAATCAGTACATTTGTCCATGACGCTTCTAATTGGAATTGAATCAAAGTCAGGCGAATAAATGCTCATCTGTATGTGAATTAAATCACCGAATCATATTGGATTATGATGTGAGGTAATTCTATATGGGAATAGAGCGAATAAAAAGTCACACAGTGAATAAGCCGCCATTGTTGGAACACACAACAGGAATAGAGGAATACAAAAAAACACACGCACACCATTTCAATGGAAGAACCTTCAACAGAACTATACAAAAATCCATAGCTACTTTGCAGCATACACAAAACACGCACCATTCGCCAGTTTCCGTACACGCTTATTCTTCCAAATACACACACACATTTATATCAACTCTCTCGCTCTTTCTCTCTCTCATACACACACACATACGAACCATAGTCGATGAAACATTAAAACATTTTTTTTCTTCGGCATGAAAACTACGTAATTTTCTCTTTGGCATTTGGTGTTTTCCAGCCAACTTTGATGTTAATTATAAACTATTTTGGTTATGATATTTGATTTGTTCGGCGGTGTATACATGTTCGGAGTGTAGTCTAGCACCATATTCAGTATATTTCACCTCTGATGAAATGGCATGATTTCCATTAACTGGTTTATTTTTATTCAATCTTCTTTTTTGTTGTTTATTTCCATTCTGTGTGCTTTTCCAAATTTAGATAGAAAAAAAATATTTTCCGTATGCTCACCGTGGTTGTGTTATGTTGCCACACACGCACACTATACACAAAAAAATCACAATTAGAGTACTTCTTCTTATTATTTTTTTCACACAACAAAATCCAATTGTAACCACTGATTTTTCTGTTGACAAATTTCTTTTGCTCGTTTTTTTTTTGGTCGATTCTTATTCCAATTCGATCTATATGCACTTAAATATCTATATATTTCATAAAAATCCAAGTTTTCGGCGGAATTATTTTGGAACGGTTTGTTTGTTGGTCTTTTTATTTAATTTCACATACTCAGTAAAATTTCTGAATTTTTTTCTTTCGTACACCGAAAAATTCTACGCCCGTTCGTGTTGTTCGTGTACTCGGTATTATTGCAAGAGTGGAAAAAAAACCTTTTTCATCTCTACATGGCAGTAACGATTGAGTTTTTTACTCAATATTGTGTACGCTTGCGTCTGTGGCAACCAATACAATCACATTTCCGAAACATAATTGCTTTCGAACAGTTTTACTTGGAAGTCCTCGGTGTTGAGCGCCATTTGTTTGTATGGTTGAGCAAATCACTCAAATGTTTGTCGATATGAATGTTCATGCAACATCGTATATTGAAAATATAAGCAAAAATGCGCTCAAATGTCATTTGAGTGATGTTTTGAATAGAAATCCATTTTCCATTGAAAATGTAATAATTTTGTCGGCAAATTTTTTATTTCCAAATTCATAGAGCATTGTATATCATAAAATTTAACATTTTTCACGGCATTTCATGGTTCGAGAATGATTTTTGTGCAATGATGGAACCGCTTGAAATAAGTATTATATGACCGAAAATGATGTCATTTCTTTTCTTTCTCCAATTCCAAAAAAAGTTCTCTATACGGTCAACATTGCCGATAGATTCACATACAGTATACGAATTATGATATTGCGGTGGTGTGAGTGTGAAAAAAAAGTTATGTTGACATAGTTCTATCTCATTTTGTCATGTGCCGCTGTAAAGCAGTATGGGTGCGGTTTTCGCATTCACACTTCCACCATTGTAAACATTTCATACACACACACACACACACATACATACACATTCAAAGACGAAGACAAATATTTTTTTCCCGTCTTTCTGAACCAGAAACTCTTACCAAAACGAATATTTCAATAAACACAAATTTACCGTTTATAAAATAAAATCGCTGACTCTTTTCAATCGGCTTCAATAAATCTTTTTCCTCGATGATTGCTTTTTATTTTTCTCTTTTAATCTTAAATCGATATTCAGTTTTTGATCACTTCTTCTCTTTTTTTTCTTCAATAAATCGCTTTCTTTCTGTTTCTTGAAATTGTTCACTTCTATGTACAGTTTTGCGATGACACACACAGCACGTACGGCTCACTTGACAAAACATACACACAATACTGAATCATTTTATATTCATAGTGTTTCAAGCGACCAAAAACCGTATTCGGTTACACTCATTTGTATAAATGTCATGCAACGAATTGTCGGTCTATCTTTTATTTCATTCACTCACAGTGAACTGATCGCGAACATACACGATTTCGATTTTCGCTGTTGGCCAAACTGTTATACATTTATTTTGAATGAGATTCGAACAGAGCGAACTTTGAATTGAAACCACCGAATTTGAAGATATTTTTATAAAATAAGAAGAAGAATTGATTCGAAAGTTTTTGAATTGAATCGAAAATCAATTTTATGATGAATTTTTCACAATTGAAAATATTTTTGTGAACTTTTAATTAATTAATATAGATATTTCATAACATTTCTTTCAAATAAAAATAATCTTTTCATATCTATTCACTATCGCATAAACTGAATTGAATTCACAGTGAATCTATTCATTTGGAATGCATTTATGTCGATTATAATAAATCAAAACATTGTTCACTTCGATGGCAGCCGTTTTGGTTGTTGTTGTCGTTTATGTCAGTTTTGAATGTCACTTGCACATCGGGCACTACAGCACGTGAAATGTGTCTGACAAATTGTGATAGAGACATTTCTCTTAATTGAAGTAAAATTGTTGACGTGTTAACACATAGACAATACATTCTGTTTTTGGTTCAACTAAAAGGAACCATTTGTTTTTGTGTTTTCACAAAACTAAATAATTTTTTGGGTTTTGCGATTTATTTTTTTAAATTAAAAATGTTAGATTTATTCACGATATTCACGAAAGGAGGCATCGTTTTATGGTGTTTCCGTGGTACAAAGGAAATTTTTACACCGCCAGTGAATGCATTAATTCGCAGTGTAATTTTGCAGGTAATTTAAATATTGAACAACATGCATGATTCAGGTTTTGGGAACAATAAAAGTGAGAGTATCATACTGGCGAAGTCTATAGACATCATTTAATTGTGATTTTCTGTTAATATTGTTTTTTTAATAGGAGCGTACCGGTTCAAATTCATTTGATTACAAAGATTTAACGGTGCAATATAAATTGGACAACGAATTTGAGCTCATTTTCGTGGTTGCCTATCAAAAAATACTGCAACTGACCTATGTGGACAAGTTCTTGAGTGACGTTCACCTGGAATTTAGAGATAAATATAAAAATGTTCTGGTTTCACGGCATGATCGAAGCTTTCTACAATATGATTTTCTGGACGATTTCAATCGCGTTCTGGAAGTATCAGAAAAATGGGGTAATGAAAATAATACCCTTACTTTTATAACCATTTCACAGAGTTTCACACAGCGCTGCTATCATCCACAGTATAAATATATATTTTGCTGAGCAGCAGCGCTGGGAAAAACTCGGATCATTTTCTAAATCCAATCACATCTAATTGTAGGTCGTTCACAAGCAAAACTACCCAAATCAATGCGTACATTTGATGAGTCACAAAAATCAAAGAAAACGGTTGCATCGATGATCGAACGAAGAGACGGTAAAGATGTGGCACCGCCGAAAAAGAATGTCAAAATTGTCGAAGTGGTCGAAGAGCCCGACCCCAATGAATTAACTGAAGATGTTTTAATGGAGAATCGTCGAAAAATGGCTGAAAAATTGTCGGGAAAGAAAAAGGCCGATTCGAAGTGAGTTCAATAGAAATGTCTATGTTAAATCGAGTAGTTCAACATATCTTTTTTCTTCGATTTTTTTTCACATTAGAAAATCGCCAAAAACTCCAAAAACGCCAACCGAAAAGGCAAAACCGGGTAAACAAGCTCGTGTTTGGGAGTTTGGCGGTTCGTCAAAGGATGCCGTCGTATTAGATCGTTCAAAGGATAAGCCAGAAGATATGAGAAGTGATTTTACGTCGAACAATGAAATGATTGGCTCGATGAAAGGTGGTATTCAAGATTTGGAGGTGGAAAGTGACGATGAGTTCGAAGAAAATGACTCCGAAGAAGAAAATGATAACAAGAATAAACTCGCGACCAAATCGAAATCCACGGGTAAAAATAGTGTGTTTTCAATGTTCTCGAAATTTGTTGGTGCCAAGAATTTGACACGGGAAGACATGGTAACTGTATTGGATAAACTACGTGATCATTTGATTTCGAAGAATGTAGCAAATTATATTGCAAACGAACTATGCGATTCGGTTGCCGTTAAATTGGAAGGAAAAGTATTGGGCACATTTGATACTATTGCATCGACTGTACGAAATGCATTAACCGAAGCATTGGTACAAATCTTGTCGCCAAAACGTCGTATTGACATTTTGCGTGATTGTTTGGAAGCGAAGAAAAACCAACGGCCATATGTCATAACATTTTGTGGTGTAAATGGCGTTGGTAAATCTACAAATCTGGCGAAAATCTGTTTCTGGTGGGTAACACACTTTATCAAAAAAAAAAAAATAAATAAATAAATAAATAAATAATAGACCACCTTTCATTTTCAGGTTGATTGAGAACAATTTTAATGTATTGATTGCTGCTTGTGACACGTTCCGTGCCGGTGCTGTTGAACAGTTGCGTACACATATGCGTCATTTGAACGCTTTACATCCCCCCGCAAAACACGGAGGCCGTGAAATGGTTCAACTTTATGAAAAAGGTTATGGCAAAGATGCAGCTGGCATTGCAATGGAGGCCATTCGATTTGCACATGATTCTTGCATCGATGTCGTTCTAGTCGACACTGCTGGCAGAATGCAAGACAACGAACCACTCATGCGTGCTCTGACCAAATTGATATCCGTAAGCATGCGCTAAGATCTTTTGTTGTTCTGGTTTTTAATTTCAATATTTTCGCCATTTGTACCAATAGGTAAATGAACCGGATTTAGTGTTATTCGTCGGCGAGGCATTGGTTGGAAATGAAGCAGTTGATCAATTGACGAAATTCAATCAAGCCTTGGCTGATCACTCCAATGTAGCTGATCCTCATTTAATCGATGGCATTGTTCTAACCAAATTCGATACAATTGATGACAAGGTAAATTTCAACAATAATTCCCTTTTCGTTTTCCAAATTACTAATTGACATTCTATCATCCATCATAGGTTGGAGCATCCATTTCAATGACATACATCACAGGTCAACCAATTGTCTTTGTTGGAACTGGTCAAACGTACACCGATTTAAAAGCATTGAATGCAAAGGCTGTCGTACATGCTCTAATGAAATAGATTCTATGTCACCATCAACCGCATTCTATTCATCATTTTCCGACAATGACACATCCAACGATAAACATTACCGCTATTTTTTACCTTCCATTTCAATTGTTACAATTTTGATTTGAAAGTCAATTTTTTTTGTTATTCAAATAAAAGGACGCCATTTTTTGGGCATGGACATAAAAATGTATTTTTCTTAACATAAACTAATTGCCGTTGATATGTATATTATTGATGTAAGCGCACCCAATCGGTTCGAGTAATTAGTTCAATACTAGAAAAAAGTAGAACTTATGGGAGACTTGAGAATTGTACACGTCATATGACAATTTAATAGAAATACTGGCGCTCACAAAAAACCGTGTCTTCCCCTAGAACTTAGCGGCTTCATTATTCAGTGTTGCATGCGATCTTGCATGAATCACACAGACAACATCACACATCACACATGATGAGTGTGAGTTTATTCGGGTTAAAGATTACAATCTATACAACGTTATTTCAGTTTCATCTTGTCGATGAACCTTAAAACACGCACTTTCTCAATTTATCAATAATACAGTCACTTGAAAAAAAAAAAAAAAAAATGAAAAATTTTTTATGTGAATAGCAGATAAGATGATTTTTATTATTTTTGTGCTATATTGGAATCTTTTGGCTGGCACCACATATGGTCAAGAGCTCGGTTCGAAACAATTTTGCACCGACTTATATCCACAGACCAATGTATCTGTTACAAAATTGATTGGCACATGGTTCGGGGCCGAAGTTATTACGCATAGAGATAGAGTAACCGGTGAAAGATCGAGCAGAGACTGTGTTTTTGTTGTCATTAATGAAATTCCCTATGAAGTAAGCAAAGTTTTAAACAAAATTTAAATGTGAACCACAAATTCATTTTCAGATTTCGTGTATTTTATCAAAATCATAAGTGTCGATTAACTTTTTCCGTAAAAAGTTACCCCATTTAATTATTGCATTGAATCTATCTCAAATAGAATTTTGAAATCTACTCACTTTTCATTGTTTTTATTGCCAATTAAAGTTAGACCGTATGTCAACATATTACAATAGGTTAAATTGTCGCCTACATTTATGTTCAAAAGTGACAAATCAAATTTCTTCTTCACAAAAATCTTAAAATACAGATGGCTACATTGAGACCACTCGAAAATCCAAAGGAAATTGTTACACAATTTGGAACAAGTCCTTCGGTGAACCCAATGAAAGATTATCGTTTCTTGAGGCTGCAATGGACTGAGCTAGATACAAAACTGGAGTACATTCTACGATACAATACAAGTCGAAAAGGATTTTGGTTTTCATCATCACCACATGAACGTAATTATTTTCAATACTTGATAGAGTAATTTTTGTCTTATTGTGATTTAAATTTGTTTGTTCGATTAAAAAAAAATATCGTGATGATTTGAAAAATTATTTACAGCCAAACATTATGGTGAACAGCCCAGTTTTTCTGGTTTTTCGGGTTCCGTTCAGGTCATCGTCGCGAAGGACAATTATTTGATGTTAACATTTTGTGAGAATATACCTCAAATGCAACTGTATTCTATCATTTTGACACGTCAAGCAAATACTCTTTCAATGGATGTAAGTGGAAAATAAAGAAAATATCACAACTATGTCAAAATCACCCCCATTTTTAAATTACAGCTAATAAAGGATCTTCGTGAACAATTACGAATTCGCGAGCTGCCAAATCTTTATTATCGAACTGTGTGTAGTGGTGTTGAGAAGATTACTGTATCGTGTTTACTATCAGTCGTAGTTGGAATAATTTTCAGCATAAAAATCAAGTGGACGTAACTCCGAAGAACATGGCAAATTACGAAACAGTCATTTCATCCATCAAAATTGACCATGGGGTCATAAAAAACTCACAACCATTTGATTGTAAAATGTTCAATGAAACGTGTTGATTACTAATAAAATTTGAACATTCTCTGAACATTGATAAAAAAATGCAATTGTTAATCTTTTGCTGAACTTTTTACCGTCGTGTTTTAGGAATTACAGACACCTTTTTTTCTATAAATTTTACTAAATATCTCAGAGTTTTATAGTTATTTATGTGATGTTTAGTGCTACTGGATTTATTCATATGTTCTTTAGAATTAATTGGGTGTTTGTTTTGCAAACTATGTCAATCGTGGATGTTATGTGACTTGTGTGACCACCCACTGAAGTCACACATATTTAAATAAATTTAAATTAATGTAATTTTGAATGGGTTTCATTCAGTGGTGAGCCTTCGTTTGAAAAATAAATTAATGTTCCATATGGCATCTGCGAAAAGTGTTGTTTTTTTCCTTCTCCGTTACATTTTTAGAGCTAATCGAATGCGCCGAATGTAAACCAAAGCATAATTAAATCAATTTAAGCATATAAGTGAGTTCGTAAGTAGTATAAGAGTCGTTGAATCACTTTACACCAATCCGCATAGAATTGTTCGGTACTAAATGAAACTAATTAAATTGAAGGCATTCCTATAGGACGTGTGCCTACGCAAAAATTGTGCTCATTTTATGAGTTGTGTCATTTATTCAACATCCAAATAAGCTAAAGAATGGTTGTGTTTGTTTTATGAGATACTGGCAAACCGTGGCAAAAGAACGTGGGGTTCATGTAGCTAGACGTCGAGTCAAAAATACACAACATTGGTGATTCATTGGTATGATGTTTCGTTGACTTCCGATTTCAAGTGCATTGTCTGCAATTTACAAAAAGAGTCGGCGATCAAAAGCAGCATGTGTATGTTTTTTTTGCTTGTCGTGCAAAAATGCAACCCTCCGAAATTTTAGACAGTATTTCACGCATCGCTGACGATGAGGCACAGTTATGCTACAAAACATACATCGGAGTCTACTGTTTTTATACTCCCGTCGACCGTATGCTATGCGTGCGCGTTTTGGCAATATATGTTTTTACCCCTCCGAAAAAAAAAAAAAAACAAAATAAAGAATAAAACGAAAAAAAAGAATGCGAACAACCGAAAATCCATTAATGAATTGAATAAACAGAACCAGAGTCAAACCCTACAAGGAAGTGAAATTTGGCTGCAAAGGAAATATCGAAGTCCCTACGTTGTACATGATTGTACAATGTTACAATAGTTAAAAGCATGCTTTGAATGGTATTTCATTTGTTTGGTCAATCACTTCCAAATCGATTTGCATGAGACATTTTTGTCAGCTCTTATCAAATCACTATATATATATTACTATATTTGTTCGTTCTATTAATTTTGTGATTTCCTTTCAAGGTGTCTTACTAAGGTTTTTTTCTATGAAAACATACTATGATTTTTATTTGGGATTTTCTATAATTATTTCGTTTATTTACCATGTCGCCAACGCCTGATGACCTGGTTTATCCAATCCAGGATTGTTTATTCATCTTTTATTCACTGGGGAGAGAAAAAATACATAGTGAACATTAATTATTCAGTAATGGAGCGAAAAAAATGTGTGTGGCTGAATGAACTGTGAATTGGGTGGTGAACAATTTATCGATATAGTGATTAACATTGAACTTTCAAACAGAAATCAACCCATTAATTTCTATCTTGATTTCGATAAATTATGACAAAATTATGAAAATATCTGATTAACAATAAAATCGCAAGTTAAAAAAGTGTATGGACAATATTTGCCACTGTAAAAAAAAGCCATTACGAATCGACCAAATGTGAATCATTTCATTTTAAATAATCGTAACAGCTATTATGGAAAAAAATGAACGAGAATAACTCTTAATTTAATTGATGAGCGAGAGAGAAAGCATCTAATTGGTTTTAACTGCTTTTATGAAGGGGATCATTTTTATGTATACAGAAAAGCCAGCCAGCCGCAGTGTAATAATAATGTGTTCGTTCCGTTTGCAACGTTCGCCACTCGTTATAATGAAAATGATATAAACCTATACGAGTTCACGATACTCTAGTGTGGCGTAGCTCTGGCTTAAGTGAAATACAAGCTCATCATTCAGTTTGTTGGTGACGGTGTTACAATTTAGACGCAAAACCAGTTTATTATTAGTTACACGACTCAATTAGTTTATTCTTAAAATACGGTGCTCCGAACATAGAATTTATTTAATAAAATCGTTCGTCCAAGATGAAAACGAAAGTGATTGGATTTTTCGCTGTTTTACTTGCAATAAGCAAGTACATTGAATGTGATAATATGTTTCAGCAGCAACAATCACAGCAACCACAACAACCGTTATTCTGTAGTGACTTGCGGCCGCAAAATCAAGTTAATATTGATCAAGTGGGTGTTCATGTTCATTTTTACATTACGTTTTTTTTTTTTAACAGAAAAATGTTGATTCAAAAAATATTTTTCTGTGACAATTTTGTATATTAGCTGCTCGGAATGTGGTATGGAAATGAAATAATTATGCATCATGATACTATGCGTAGCGATCCTGTTGCATTGGATTCGTGTGTTATGATTCATTTATCGGATATTACTCATGAAGTAAGTTTAATTGCCTAAAATTGTGTGAATTAGTCAATTTGAAGCACTTGTGATTGTATACATGAATTGTCTGATTGTGTTCTGTTGCAGATAGCATCAACCCGACCACGGCAGCCAGACAATTTCCAAGAGTATCATAATCAGCAAATCTTAGCCAATTATGACTATAACCAACGGCCATTCGGTGCCCAACAATTCAATCATTTAAGATTGGTTTGGTCCGAACAGGATATCAATTTGGAATATACATTACGTTTTAATACAACACGACGTGGATTTTGGATTTCATCGGCACCACAAAAAGGTAGCGTTTGCATGACTTTTATCAAGTGCCTGTATTTTTAATTGAATACTGGATTTTTACTGTGAAGTGTCCATTGTTGTAGGTCAAATGATAAAATTGAACTACGGCCAATTCACTGGGGTCATTCAAGTAATGAAGGTCGTTAGCAACCAAATGATTTTAACTTTCTGCGAAAATCTGCCCGGGAAGCAGTTTTTCACCATCGTTCTATCACGGCAACCGAACTCCATTTCGAATGAGGTAAAACCGAGACAAATGCCATCTTGAATGCAATTACATTTTTTTTTTTGAAATTATTCCATTTGCAGGATATGGGAAGTATTCATGCATTACTAATGCATCGCGGATTACAGACGGTATCGGTTCGTAAAATTTGCAATGGATCCTCATCAATGCATAGCATATCAATTGTATCGGTTCTTTTCACAGCAATTCTTGCATTTCTTCTTAAACAAAAATAAAAAAAAAATATATTTCTAAAAAGCCAACATTCTTACTTTAAGTTGTCGCGTGAAAAATGTAACCAATACTTTTCATATTCACATCACAAATACAATTTTAAAGTTATTTTAACTGATTTTATGTTTTACATCAAACAAAATCATAACAATGATTATTTCATAAGAGAAACAATAAGTGTGAATAAACAAACAATAAAAAACATAACGTTGAGCATTTATTTTCTCTAGTCAATTCTTTTCCCTTTTTAAAGGCAGGTTGCTTAATTCATGTCGAATGTTCGATTAAGGTTTCTAAAAAAATATGCGGTTATAAAATAACGTGCGGTCGCTCATTCTGGCCATATCTTCATGGTTTTATAATTGTGTGTTAGAATTGATCGCAGTTTATCGCGTCCTAATGAATTTGACCGCACACGCATAAATTAACGGGAGAGAGAGAGAATATTCTAGAAAATTTACCAAAAAACTAACATGAACTTTATCGCTAAATAAGGGCACACGAAATTCTGGTGATATCTGGTTTTTTTTCTGGATATAGTTCATATCGTTTTTGTGTATTTTCTTTTCTGTGGGACTTTTTTATGCGTCTTAAATTTTAATAAACGAAGGAAATTCACAAAAAAAGAATACACATAAGCGATATTTTGCAAATTATCGAATTTTATACGAATTGCGAACTAGATCCAAACTTGATATATGACATGTCGTTTACTTTTGAATGTATTTATTGTATTTTCTATGTGTATCGGATCAGAAAAGGCGTTCCACATTTTTAGTGATAAGTTGTTCAAATTAAAACACTTGGACAATATATGTATAATGTGTCTCACTGTTCAACGAAAAATGCATTACGACAATTATCTTTCTTTCAACCATCTTGCACTTCAATTTAATTATTGTTTTTATTTTCATTAATTATCGCACAAAAAAAACGTTCTTGTTCTAGCCACTATCAATTAACAAAATGAATGTGTCTACTGTTGTAACGAACTATTGACTTTCATTTTCATGGTTTCGAGCATGAATATGTTTTGGAGACAGAAAATCCACGCGAAGAACGGTCAAGCTTCAAATGAGGTATGTGGGAGGTCAACGTTGGCGTTTCATTGCTGAACGGATAAATTTGTTTTAAAAAAAAACTAAGCGAAAAGGCACAATGCTTGCTTTATTGACGATAATTGATGATTCTCCTAATTATCAACTCACTTTCGGAAAGTAGATCACATTTTTGGTGAACAAAATTTAGAACAACAAAAATGATGATCATATCGATTCTAGGACAAACACAAATATATCAATCGAATTCGCTTTAATTTATACATATTCGTTCAACTTTCGTATTGATTTTCATGTGCATATATTTCGCTGGAAGTGAGAGCACGTGCAAAGACGTTGATGTGAAGAAGAAGAAAAAAAAGAGTCAATGTCAATGAGCAAGAATCAAAGTATGCGTTACACAAAGATGAAATACAGTTTCGAATTGTAATAAATGGTTTAGTTCATTAGAATGTGAACATATATGACAGTACTGCATCTATCGACATTTTTCTGCGTTATTTGTATGAAAATCTTCAAAATGTTGAGTGCCAAATTATATTTGAAATTCCCGATCTCAATCCAACCACATCAGAATTGGACATTTCTTTGGACCTTTCTTCGGGTGATTATGATGACTTCAGCTATGAATCCGACAGTGATTAGAACAGATGTAAAATGAATGACAAGTAAGTACAATAACTCTTGGCTATGTACGTTTGAATAGAAAAACAAAAATTACTAAAAAGTTTATTATATGTAACTCATTTGATTTATTTTCAGTAAATATTCGAAATAATTGATGCTTTACTAATTCAATTACAAATATGACCAAATATATTGTTGTACAAATGCGATGCAGTCCTCATGATCGAATTGATATTGTTCTACGTGGATTTTAATTATTTGGAGACAAATTAATTAGATTAGACAAGTAATTGATGCAAAAACGAAAATATTTATTAACAATTGATAAAATTAGGCGCAATGTTGAGTCCTTCACTGCGTTTACCGTTATGTCTTTTTGCGTTTCAGATTGGGTATAAAGAACACCTAACAAAAGTTTACTTTATTTTTTAGATTTTATGTAAATTCCCAGCAAACAAAAATGTAACGTTTTTTATCCATTTAGTTGAAAAGTGCAACGCGTTGACCCATTTTGCTGGTCATTTAGATTTGATGGTTTTAGATTATAGGCATAAATGAACACAGATCCTACGTTCTACAGTATAATGTGAACCCGACCCAAAACAATGTTAGGTTTTAATTTTATATTCAAAATTATGTGAAATAGCGTGAAAAGTCAAATAACAACAAAAAATCATCCGTTCATTCAAATCAGCGATTTGTACAATTTTGAACGTTTAACAATTAAATACTCTCTTGACTTCAGAAATAAAAAAAGTCGACTTATACAAAATTATCATTAATTCAATTTCGAATAAGAAAAAACACAAAAATGTGACTATAAATCCAGGACAGTTCGAGTGAAAAATAAAAATATTGATCGAATTCTTTTTGTTTACTTTATGGCATTTTATTTATTATTTAAATGTTGTGTGTTTTATTTTCTCTCACAATAACTATAGTGTAAAGCACAATTTATAGCGTCTATGGCATCATTTTATTTTCTTTTGTTATTGATAACACACAAAATGATCGAAACAAACGGTAAGCTAATAATATATCAGTGATGGTTTTTTCCTATCTGAATAGCGCTAGCTATTCGCAGCGTCTGTACAGCATTGCTGCCCAGATGATGAATCGACGCGGTTGCCGCACGCGTCTTGTACCACACAACATATTGTCATATAGTCTAAGTAACCAGTGAGCTCACAGAGTATGATACACTAATACCATAGTCAGTATACAAACGCATGTCAAACAGAGAAAGAACGCGAACGTATATGCTCTGTGTGGTACAAACGAAGTGTGTGCGCGTGCGGCAACCGCTACGATTCAGCATCTGGGCAGCAATGCTGTACAGGCGATGCGAATAGCTAGCGCTATTCAGATAGGAAAAAACCATCACTGTAATATATTCATTTTTTTATTTCAATTAAACTATGAATTCTTAACATAAATTCTGAACAGAAATAATTGAATACACAAATATTCATTTCATTCTTTTTTTTCTTGCGTTGATATTTATATTAATTTTTTTGTTGTCATTGATTTTTTTTTTTTCAATATTTGTGGCACATAATTTTCTTTAGGTAAATGCTATTTTGGAGTTTGTGGTTTTAAATAATACAATAAAATTCAACTATGACGAACATGTGCGATAGTATTCAGATTGAAGTTGAATGCGCTCCAAATAACCGACCATTTCATTGTTTAATGCATCGATTTGTGCCTGTAAGCCTTGAAGTTCTCTTTCATTGTTCAGATATGTGTCGGCCATGCCTTGGAGTTGTACTAATTTATTTTGTGTGTTTACCGTAACGACTGAAGCACGTTGCAACAATTGTTGAGCACGAGCTCGTGCACTTTCCGTTGAGCTGGCTTTTTCGGTCAGAACATCGTTTGCCTTGCGATAATTGTTCTTCAACTGTTGGTATTCAATTGTTTTTTATATTAATTATTTGGAATCTCTTTTTTAATAGAGTATGTCATACCTTAACTGCGCTCTCATGAGCTTGATTGGCTTGGTCGCGAACATTCTCCGATTGGCTTTCGATTTCCTTGGCATCGAATTCATTCTTGAGAACATTCTTTTGCAATTGATTCAACTTTTCAAACAATTCATCGACCTTGGCAGCAGTTTCGTTGGCTTTTACTTGGGCTTCAACAGTTACACCGTCAATCTGAATACAATGAATGGTTGGAGAAGAAAAAATTAGAAGAAAATTCAGATCGACATGGTTGAATATACTTGTGTACCTTTTCCAAATCATCGCGTGCCAATGCAATGTCTTCGTTTGCTTGTTTAATGGCATCCTTGGCTTTCTGTTGGGCAACATCAGCATCGTCGAGTGCTTTTCTCAACTCTTGCGCTTGTTTTAGTACATTATCAGCATGTTCACTGTAATCAATCCATAGATTTAGCTTCATTTTTCAACGATTCAACGTTCTTAATAATTTCTTACCTTGAACCAATGGCAATTTCCTTGAGACTGGTGGCGCGTGCCAAATCAGCGCGAGTATTTTGAATAATTGCATCGACATTTTTCAATTGTGAAACGGTATTATCGATTTTATTGGCTAATTCTTTGATTTGGTCAGGATCCAATTGCAAGTTCAGTTCCAAAATCTACAAAAATATTCGTTATCATTTTAATGTTTTTCAAATTGAAATTATTCGAACTCACCTCTTCAGCTAATTTTTTGATTTCGCCTGGTGAAGCAGTATTGTTGTTCAAAATAGTCGACAAATTGGCAATCAAATCATTGCCCTCGCTAATCATCGATTTGGTTCGGTTTAGATGAGTGTTGGCAAGTAGTAGTGCGCCTTCGGCTTTTTTGTATGCTTCGGTTGCATTGGATCTGGCTTGTGATAACTTGATAAAAAAATGATGGACAAACGACAGTTAAATCGAACAATTTATAACGAAAAATAAAATAAAAATACAAACCGATCGAATAAGATCATCAGCGACGTCTTCTTTGGCCTTGATTTTACCTTCAGCATCCTTAACATATTCCAGCGCTTTTTGAGCACGTGTCAATGCTCCTTTTTCACATGAGAAACCACCGCACGTGCCGCAACCGGCACCACCGCAAACACTGTCGCATGGATCGCCACGTTTGTCACACACTTGTTCATTCAAATCTGGAATTTTCGATGTTAGATTTTGCAACTCTGACAAATATTGATCCAATGTATTCTCATTTTGTTCTTGAAGTGTATTGAATTCGTCATTTGCACGACTAACCAATTGTTCGGTACGATGACATTGGCGTTCGGCATTTGCGCTCAAATCTTGTGCTTCGGCATTCAACTGCGACAATAGATTTGCCTTATGCCATGCCTGTCGCGTCAAATTCAAAGCGCCTTCAATGTTGGCCTCTTGCAATTGCGTTGAATTTTCTTTCAATTGATTGGCAACACCTTTAATTTCATCGCCTCGTGCACGAAGACCGTCCAATGCAACATTTGCCAAATTAACATTCGAATATAAATCATCCAAGCGAGTCTCTGACGCTTGCAATTCGGTCAATGATGCGTTCAATTGTTTACGTAAATTCTCTTCAAGATTTTCCAATACCCGAATATCTTGTGAACTAATCGTTACATTATTCAAAACGCTTCGAATTGATGCAATTTGTTTTTCCATTGCGTCAAATTCTTTGGTATAAGCTCCAGTAGCGCCGGTTGTCTTGATTTGTTTGGCTTCTTCAATGACACGTTTAGTTTCTTCGCGCAATGAATTCAATATCAAATCCCAATTATCGAAACATTCACCGCATGGTGAACAGTATGGAGCCCGTCCCAAATAACCACGAGCACATTCATTACATTTATATCCACCGATTCCTTGAACACATTTACATTGTCCATTTGTCCGATCACACTGTTCCGTGGCCGATCCATAGTGATCACATTCGCATGGTTGGCATTTAACATTCGGGTTACCCCAGAAATTGGCTTGACACTCGTTACATTGACGACCGCCAAAACCATCTTTACAACGGCACTGACCATCGTATGGATTACATTGTTTATTTTCCGAACCGATTGGATCACAGTCACAAGCTTCGCAACCTTCACCACTGGCAATTTTCCAATAATTCTCTTTGCATCGATCGCAACGAATTCCTTCAACATTCTTCAAACAAGGACATTGACCATCGTTTCGATTGCAAAATTGAATTTGACTATCCGTTCCCAATACATCACAATCGCATTGGCGACAATCTTGTACAAGTGCATTACCAAAGAAACCATCGCGACAATATTCACAATTTTCACCGGATGTATCGTACAAACACTGCAAACATGTTCCAGTGTGTAGGTCACAATTTCCTGGTCTCGATAGTTCGACATTATTATTACAATTGCATGGTGTACATGTGCCGTTCACAAGTTCTGGATGACCAAAGAAATTTTCAGCACAAATATCGCACTTGGCACCAGCATACCCTTCACGACAATAGCAAATCATATCCTTTGTACGACGGTCCAAGTCACAAGAATCCGAATGAATATGACCAGAGGCGACGGTGCCGGGACAACGACATTCACGACAACCAACTTCACTTCCAAGCAATGGATCACCATAGAAACCTTCGATACAACGTTCACAATTGCGACCACTGGTGAAATCGGCACAATCCAAACATTCGCCCGTTTGTTGATCGCAAAGCTGTGCATGTCCATTACATTCGCACATTTGACAGCTTGGGAAATTCCAAAAACCAGGTTGACACTGATCGCACATACGACCGTATGTATTCGGATGACATTTACATTGACCAGTTATTTGATCACAATTATTGTCGGTCGCACCGATGCTATTACAATCGCACGCCTTACAACCTTCTGGTCCAAATCCATAATAGCCTGGTGCGCATCGATCACATTGTCGTCCGACAACATTCGGTTTACATTGGCATCGTCCACCAAATTCATTACATTTCTTTGTATGTGAACCAGTTGGATTACAAGCACATGGATTTGCACCATCAAACACAAATATACTAATGGTATCGATTAGATCTTTACATTCAGGTGACGATGTTTCATCCCAATCGACACGATAGAATGATTGATTACAATTCGATTCGTACAATTGTCGATTACTGTCGGCATCTGGTGTGCCCGACAATAGTGCTGTGGCCTCAATTCGTGGAATTGTTGATATGGAATCGATAAGAATTTGTGCGGCCGGATTATTTTCTTGTTTGCGTTGACGTTCAAACAGCAATTTGATTTTATAGATTTTGCCTTGTTCGAGGCACACATTTGTCAATGCACTAACACTCGATTCACGTTCTGGCAACGAGAATGGCACACGATCTTCGTACGATGGATGGGAATACGTGCATGGACCATTTGGATCGTATTCTTCGGGACGAATGACTGTGATTTTGGCCACATCCCAATCACCGCGTGACACTGTTTGATAACGAACAACAACATCATACGGCATCGTTTTTGGTATATCATCAATAGTGAATATAAGTTCATTGCCTTCGTTAACACGAGTATAACCGGGCCCTGTCCATGGTGCTCTACCATCGGTTGGTGGTTCACGCAATACAATCGTACAATTCTAAAAATATACAAGTATTTGATTACAATTCAATTTTGAACAGATCTTGGCCTGAGAAATTCAAGTGTTAAAGTGAAGGAAAAAAAGACACTCACGCCATAGCTTGAATAACCCGATTCACATTCAGATGGTGGCACTTCAGCTTCGTATGTTATTTGTAATGATGGAACAAAATAGTTTTGCTTTGGTGTGTCACATCGAAGACCTTGCATGTTCGGTCGGCACGAACATTGTCCACTTATAACATCGCAATGATTATCGTACGAACCACCCGGATTACAATCACACAGTTGACAACCGTCTTGAGTGGCTGATAAACCATATGTTTCTGGCATACATTGATTACAATCTTTTCCAGTGACCAAACGTTTGCAAACACATTCACCGGTGTATGGATTACAGCCCAAATTTCCAATTGTTCCCAATGTATTGCATGTACATTCTTGACAACCCAATGTATTATTTGCATCCAAATTCCAGAATCCTTCCAAACATGTGTCACATCGTCGACCGGCTACATTCTTTTTACAATGACATTTACCGGCTTCATTTTCAGCGTCGGTAATTGAATCGCAAATTCCCTCATCAATCGCACCGCGAGGATCGCAATCACAACCTGAATGAATTCAATTAGTAAAATTATCAGTCGTATGCAGTTTTTTTCAATCAAAATTAAGTCATTTTTTATCAGAAGATAATAATCATGTCTGCCAAGACTTAAGTGCACATCAATTAAACTCGACTTACGTTTGCATACATATGGACTGTTAATTGGTTCATTTGGATCACGATAGAAGAATGGTATACATTCTTCACAATGTTGACCTTGTGTATTGTGTTGACAATTGTCACAAACACCGCCGCTCACGCGACCAGACAGCTCATAGACGGCTGCATCAAAGTGACAGATCTCCGTGTGATTATTACAGTTACAAGCTGAAATAGACAATGTTTATTCGTATTACATTTGACCGGTGTGTTAATTGCATTGAAAGTCGACGGTGTGACATTTGCTTACCTTTACACGCGTTTGTTTGTTTACCCAAAGCTGGCTTCCATGGTAAATCATTGTAAAAATCTAAACATTCTTCACAATTTAAACCTTTTGTATTGTGCGTACATTCGCATCGACCGTGCACCATATCGACTTTATTCTCAACATTTGGCATTGGCAAACAATGCGATGCATGACCATAACATGAGCAAGAACCACGAACAACCATATTTGAAATGGCATAATAGTATTTTTCCTACACAAAATAGATGAAAGAAAGTCATTAAAAAGGGCCGACCAAAACCTTGAAAAATTGTGCAAAATATTTACCTGAATTTCTTCGCGATCATCGAGTAAAGTGTCACCCAAATTATGCAATTGTGTAAAATTGATACGTAAATTGGTCATTTTTAACATATTTTGAATGTGATCGGCGTATGGATTTTCAATATTGTGTTGTGGTGGCAAAACACGGAAAATAACTTCACCATTTTTCGATGGTTCGACACTTGAATACCGTTCATCGCACACAACGTCCGTAATATTCTTTGTGATGCGTGGTATACCTGTTACATTCAATTTTCAATAAAAAGATTTATTAAAAAAATAAAAAATAAAATAGATTTGAATGAACACTTGTGTTGTTACACACTTACCGGGGAAAGCTTCATGACATTTATGGGCAAAGTATCGATACACATGCCAAGTTCGACCGAAATCATATGATCGTTCGATTAACATAGCGGCCGGACGGAACGTTTGGAATACAATGATCAAATGCGTAAAATGGAATTCAGCTTCCAAATCCAAACGAATGGTAACATTTTGTTTGCCATTTTCCGATTGCCACCATGATTGTTCACGAGTACCGGGTTGATTTTTATAAATGATTTGTCCAATACGATGATTCAATCGTGGATCGTTAAGGGTATTATCGGTGCTTTCGCATGAAAAACATTTTTTCTCTTCCAAATGCGATACAATACAGAATCGCTCACGGCCACGAGTACCACATGTTGACGATGCCGCCAAACGATCCTCACGACCAATTAACAAATTTCCAGTCGCCGGATAACATGAACTCTTCTCACACGGATGTACTGGCTTTCGCGGTCTGTATGCTATATTAGTCGAAATATATTGTGCAAAATATATATATTAGCTATAATGAAACTTAAGTAAGTGTTAGTAAGTGTTAGTGACTGTACAAAATCTTTTTTTAAAAAAAATTACAGTTTGCATCATTTGTCACATCGATGAATACAAAATAAAAAAAACACAAGTTTGTTAGAAACTGTGTATAAATTTAATGATTATTATGCACAAAACGATCATATGAAAGAATGCCATTGTTTGCATCACATTTCATATGCGGTGAAAAAAAGAAGGAAAAAAACGACAACAACGCATTGCATTGCGCTTTAATTGCAAATGTTTATGCATTTTTCACGTGCAAAGTGTCACAGAATTATGTAGAATCTTCCAATAGAAAAAAAAAACACACAAATTATGGTGAAAAGAGTTAGTCACAAATCATAGTTTATGAAGATTTCGATGAAGGTACGACCTGAATTTATCTATCAAAAGGAGCAAATACCACAAAAATTTTGATATAAAATCTACACATTGTGATTTTTCAATGTCATAATTTGTTGCTCCCCACAATTTTCAGCCATAATTTGGTTTTGTAAAAAAAGTTAACAACAAATCATGCCATTGGCAAAAATATCTCATAATTGACCCAAAACGGCCAGCCCTAGTACCCAGATTAAAATGTTGAATATATTCGGTCTTTGTAATCACTATGGTATTACGCATTACATTTGACTATTTTCCCCCCTTGATCAGTTATCACTCTATGTACACGTACAGTATGGAAGACATATCTATTTTCATTTCATTCATTCGAATTCGTCATATAAGCTGAGTGTTCTGGGAAAATCACTGTAAAAGGCACACCCAAAATATGTTTTTGTTTCTACACAAACGATTGTATGCGTAAGTTATCGACTTGAAAAAGAAAATGAAAAAAGAATCATCTGGTTGTGTTATGTTTATTTCATTTCGTTCTCTTTCATTTTCTTATTTCTCAATATAGTAGTAATTTGACGCGATAAAATTCTCGATATACATTGAAAAGGAAAAGGTTACATATGATGTTTCCTATCAGCCTTCGTTAGATATACTTTAAAAGAGCATATATATATTTCAAGTTAGATTGTACTACAAAAAGTCACATTCAAATCGAGGCAGCTCGTCAAAACTGTATGAGAGTTCGCTGAGCATTTTGTTTGCTAAAGAGAAATGTGATCATCATCACTTGGCTAAATTTAGAACGTCTTTTTTTATCTCCGGCTAACAAGATATATACAACTGATGCCGCTGCATCTTAAAGGGAACCACACGAACTACGATGGCGAACGGTTTTCCAAACAAATAGAGTCAATATGAAAATATATACAAAATGAAAAGAAACAGATAAACATATTGGATTGAATAAAACGATTGATGATCCAGGTTCTAGTGCTGGCATTATATCGATTGAAAAGGGGAAACAAATGTTCAAATAGTGAAAAAAGTAAAGAAAAACATTGATAAAAAAAATGAAGATGGGATATAATATTGTGAATCAATACGTTGGTGCATTTGGTCGCGTTCGTTGATGAAATAAATGGGATGAACAGTGACTGGATGCTTTGAATGATTTTTAATGCCAGACACTACAAATTCCTTGATATCTTGGCTATCGTCGTCATCGATTTGTGGTTGTTGGTCGCCACGCAATGGTGTCGTCTTTGTGACCATCGTTTCTGCGGTCGTTTTGCGCTCTTTGCTCAATCGGTTTCGAATTATTGAGGCTGGCGTTTGTGTCTTAAATCGATGCGAGACATTTGAATTTGGAATGTATATTGGAGCGTGCAATGCTTCAGTCGATTTACGCAATGAATATGAAGATGTCCATTGATTTTGATGAGTTGTCATGCGATCGTCAAAGCGATAATTTGAAGTGCCTAAATGGTTTTTGTTTGTATTGCATTCATTTTTTATATGTGATTCATGCAACATGCATAATCGTAATGTGTAAAAGGTGAAAAAAATGAAATCGATTTTTAATTCAGTTCGATAATAAAATGAACATTTTCTTCATCAAATTCGTCGTCATACCAAAACATATGAATATTAAAGAAATTTTGCCTAATTGTTATTCGTCTTCGTTTCTATTTTTTTTTTGAAATAAAAAACGTCAAGAATGAAATGCTTACGTTTTTGCCGAGCTGACTGTGCATCCGACTGTTGTGCCACACATTCTGCTAAATCTGAAATGAAATTTCACATCTGTGTTAACTTGTTGCCATCTGAACCGCGATTTCGTAATAGTTTTCGAACAAAACACAGCAACGACCAAAAAAAATTGTCGTTTTCAATTTTAGTTTAAAATGTCACTTGCCTTTAACTAACACTAAAACTATATAGAATATAACTCCGACAAATGTTGATTTTAATTTCACCATGGCTCCTCACACTTGTCGTCTGGTAAACGTTTTTTTCTACGAAGAAAACGTTCCCGTCCTAAAACGAATACATGAACATATACTACGATCAGATTTCGAATAATTCGTTTCTTTTTCTTGTTGCTGTTGTTGCGGTTCGCGTTTTCTGTCGGTCGTTGTTTTTTTTTTTGAATTAGAACACTGTGGGTAATAGAAGTTCAATTTGTTGTTGAAATAATATTTTTTTTTTGTGTAAAGTCAACATATGTAGAAAGATAGAGAAAAAAAAGACACGACGATCGATAAAGACCAATAAGAACATGAACGACAGCATGTAAAAAGACAGCGAAAGCGAAGATCAAGAATAAAACCAACCAAGAAAAAATCGTCTTTATCATCATGTGACGAAAAACCATGATAGTTGCCGGGTTCTCTACAATTCATTCACATAATCAGTTTCAAATATGGAATTTCTGCCCCGAATATGCCATATTTCATTCAAATTGTACTTGCTTTCAATGAAAACCGAGTAATACACATTATTTTTATTCACTCTTATCACGCTGAATGTGTGTTGTTCATACATCCGTACATCGGGACAGAATTGAGCTATTCAAAATAACAAAACTGCTCTCATGCTATCAACAAAAATGGCTAGGTTTTTTTCTCCTTTACTCTTCCGGTAAAATGTGTAATCTTATCGAAGGTTAAAGAACTGATGTAGCTTGTAATGAGCACACATTCTATAACTATGGCTTGTAAATTTATTTGTTTTTTTTTTGGCGAATAGTTAATGATCGGTTAGTTTCATCCTGTTGATGTAAAATATTCGTATACGTCTCATTCATTCTATTTGAAAGCCAAAAAAATGTGCTGATCAAGTGAATCCTCGCTATCTACAGCCTTATTGCTATAGTAAATTTATTACGAAAGTGATTGGAATTTAAAAATGTGAAAATGTCAAATAAGCTCAAAAATGTACACGTTACGATTTGTAACCTAATAGCGATGGAAATTATACGGTTATAAATTCTCGATTTCAATTCGAATTGCAGGTGCCGAAATTATTTTTTAGCACTGAACGGCAAAAACACATTATACATGTCGATATGGCCAATGTGTATTAAATGAGTTTATGTGAGCATTTAAAATATATGGTGTACTGTTTGGACTGTTTTCTCAATTATTCGCATATCCAATGTAGTCATTTCGTCGAATTACCAGCGATTTTGCTGAATGGTACCACACACTTTATTGCATTTTCACTTGTGTTTGTGATTTGAACAGTTTTACATGCGCTATTCGTCCATAAAATCTCATGCTGTGCAAATCTTTATGCACACTTTTGGCCACCGTAATGTGATGAATAATTTGTTGCAAACAACAGCATAAATCACATATTAAACTCATCATATTCGAATATCCATGTTGCTTGGATGCAATTATCAATTTCCATATATTTGTTTTTGCTTGTTTTTGTACAATTTATCGTCAATCGCACACACAATGAACTGTTTCTATGTCGGAAACAAAACTCCAACGCTCAGCATGCGTGTCGTATAAAAACCCATAGTTAAAATGTTTAATGTTTTTGAGAACACATGTGATAAAAATACTCATTTTATGATCAATTGTGGTCTTAAATTTTTCTGTACATTTTGTACTTAAATTATATTTCATCGCACCATATGTTCAATTTTTGGTATTTCAATTATTTTCACTGTACAGATTTTTATTTTTTGCGCCAGCTTCACTGTGTTCGTTGGTACAAATTTTCGGGTCGTCCATTGATTTATGTAGTCATGCACGTCGGCAATGATCAATACACGTATTACAAACAAAAGATATCGTTGCGATGAATAAATGACGTCGTTACCATGCACAAAAGGAACGTTAAATTGTTTTTTTCATTTTGGTCGACGTAAAATCAAATTGTCTTTTTACCAGATGAACAATATTTTGTTTTGAAAATACCATAGAGTTTGAAAGGATCATAAGCACACATACACTCACGCTGATGGAAGAGAAAACATTCAAAATAACCAAATACATTCAACAGATGCACAAACATTCTTTCACCATATAGTTGTGATATCAACGTATCCAAATGCACCGAGAATAACTTGAAACTGTAACACGATCATACTTTGTCTTTCGTCAGAATTCTGCAAAAATCTTCTTTAACACAAAACTATTTCTATTTAAATGCGTTTTATTTTCGATCAAGCTGAAGATTTATCCGAAAAAGAAAATCACACAAACACAAGATAAGCCATATAGCATGGAATTCAGAAATGCAACAACAAATGGTACCTACACAACTTCAAAGAAAAAGGAGAAAAAAAAACAAATAACTTGGAAGAGAGAACGGAACGAAATAATACTTTGGTGCTGTTGACCGATTGAAGTATTCCACTCGACTGACGACGGGAATGATCGAGTCGGGATCCGGCATTGCGCATTCATTCTTCTTATGGTTTTACAGTGCTGCGCGCATACATAAAAATGAAGTGCGTTCTCTTCGGCTGCTTTTGGTTTGTTGTGTTCCTTTTTAGTGCGACGACGATCATTTATGCTTTGCGTTTTGTTGCACGTCCGTCTTCTCTATCTATGTTGCTGTTGCTCTTTCGAAAAAACCAAAAATAGAGTTGTGTTTTTGTGTGCTGTTTTCCATGCCATATCTCACTCTCTCTCCCGCAATCGCGACAGCCACAGACAGAGATGGCATGTGTTCTGTGATTATTTTTTTCTGGTATCCCTTTTCATTGCATACAGAATAATACCGACTTAGAATATATATTCGTTGCGTTCTTGTCATTTTGCCTTTGTCCCAGTTTACATCGCATTTAAAATGTATGCATGCACACCAAATAGTTCCATACAATTGGAAGCATGTGTTTATCGTAAAACATTCAGTATTCTCTTTTTTTCCCATCAAATTGTTTTCCATTTTTTTTTTTGTGTTCCGTTTACTTGTGCGTTTCATTTGCTTCTTTTCAGATTTCTTTCGCTTGCGTTACTTGCCGCACTCAAATTAGGCAGTCTGGAGATGATGGTGAATGAAACAACGATAGGCTACAATCATTTTGCTATGTTATCTCTAGCATGAACATAATATTGGCTTTTTTTCATCTTCTTTCGTCTTCGTCTCGTTATTGCCGCATAACCAGAGATTTTCAGTTTCATGGCGGCGGCAACGAAAACAAAAACAACATTCTACTAGGACTGTTGTTATTTTTTTTTTGTACCAACTTCTAATGCTATGAACGAGGCATAAAATACTCGACTTGAATGAGTTTTATTTACATGCGCAGTTGAGTGCAATGACTGGCGTGATTTCTAGCATGTATTTTTTATAGATTTTGGACAGTGATTTGTTTGCTGAATGCTTGTCGATGATATTGCTGGAAATTTCTCCATTTCGCTTTTTTTCAACGTGTTTTGTATGAATACCATTTATGGCCAGAAAATGTGCCCCATAAATGGTGAATACAGACTGAGATCAACTGCTGACAAACGACTTGACGGATCCATTTAATTTACCACCGCCACCGGATTGTATTATTACAAAAAGCGATACGTATCAAGCGAAATTGTTGTATTTTTTTGCCAACATGTTTAAATTTAGTATGGATTATAAAACGGTCGCCGATAACAAAGGTCACCAAACATACGCCCTTTTAATTTCTATTTCTAACCATTGACCAAACGACGTTTCTTTATTCAAAAATTTTATCAGCGCACGAAATAAAAATAAAACGGCATATGACGGTTATTCCAAGTTTCATATGTTTTATCAATTTTCAGGCGATTCTTTGATTTGAAAGAAAAATACTATGTCATCTGAAAAAAAGATCTGACGATTCAATTGGTACTAAAAAAATTCAATTCATCAATTTTATACAAAAAAACACGCATTTTTCCATAGTATCAATCAATTTTATTCAACAAACTAAAAATATTGTTCACTCTTATTCTTTTTTTTATTTCGCTGTGTATTTCTGTTTATTATAACGATGTGACATTTAATTTCATTATCCAAGATATTTAAACGTTCGAAAGTGTATGGTAATATAGATTATTTAACTTTTTTGGTTACTATTGTTTGCCGGAATTTAAGCAAGATCCTGTAGATTCTTTGCATTTAAATTTGAATTCCAAATACGATTTGGTAATGGTCATAATATCAGATCCCAAAATGTGCTAATTCATACTGTATGAAGAAAATAGCAAGGAAGAAAAACTTGCCTCTCAACGATGTCCGAATTCGGTCTAATAATAATTTCACAAACGTAATCTATAGTTGGTGATAATTTGTCGATAATTGTAGCATCAAAAATGAAGATGATTTTAATCTTTATTAATTTTCAAATTCATTGCTCTTTGTTCATCAAACGTTTGTAATATATAAAAAAGATAAATTCCATATTCGATGTTTCTAACGGATATTTTGTTGAATTTCAACTGGGTTACACGCTCTTTTGATTTTGTATTGAATTACCACATTTTGTATCCAATTTACTAAATATACACATGAATTTTCATCAAATATAATGTATCATTGAAACTGCACACAAAACATAAAATTTCAAAAAAAAAATGTATCTCATTACATCCTAGTACTAACAATAAATTTTATTCATTTTCGACTTTGTGTTTTGTTGTTTTTTTTTTTAGAAAAATAAAGCAAATTTCATCAAATTTAATTTTTTCGTGTTTTTTTTTTGTTCTGAGTGTGTATTGAATTTTGTCCGAGCGATTAGAATCGAGGGATTTGATTTATTAGGTGTTAAATGGCAAATGTCGACATTGAATTAAACCAAAAGGAATTTACATCGGTCACCATGATAGCTTAATCAGAAAAAATGCATTTCTTACGAGACTCTCGTAACGAGAGAAAAATTTATTGAAAAAGCAATTATTCTGTGTCTCTCGTCCGTTTAATCTTTTATGAATATCGTTTTCAAATGACTGTCACACTCTCTCATTCTACACTTCAAGTACAAAGACTTGTGCAAAAATATCACAAAAATCAGCTAGTTTTATAGAATGTCTTATTTTGCATTACATCAAAATGTACAAAAATAGAACCGATTATGTGGCATAACAAAAATGTGTGGCTTTTGCTGGAATTTCAATTGCCTGAATAATAATAAATACATCGAATAATAGTTTTTTTTTCTCGACGATATAATCAAGCGTAATCATGAAGCGATTTGCCACTGATTCGACTTGAGTTGGGATTTTTGTTCTTTGTTTTAGGCAGGAAAAATAATGAATTAACGACGAGTAACGATAGAAAGGAAAAAAAATTGACAATAAATGGATAGGAATAAATTGCATCACATAAAAGCGCATTTATTGATGGCTTTGACGACGTTGCCGTTCAACATGTAAATCAAATAATAACTTATTCTTGTCGTAGTAAAATGGATTTTCATCAGCCGTCAGTTCGGGACGGTAGACGTCTTCCATTTGATTACTGTTTGATTCTACATGATGCAAGTGCTGCTGATGGTGCTGCTGATGGTGCTGCTGATGAGGATGATGCTGGTGGTGATGGTGATGGTTTTGCTTGTGTGCATTGGTCCCTAGAGCTAAATGGCTATTGTTTTGAAACCCGTTGGAATGATTCGTTGACTGAACGATGTGACTTTGGTCATGATAGTTTGGATTGTGTGCGGTGGCCACAGCTGCTTGTCCATTATGGTTCAGATAATGATGTGACATTCCATTTGGATAACTATTCACAATCGATGATTGTGCAAAATGCTGTGACTGGACTTCCTGATTGTTTACCATAAACTGATGATGATTTGATGCAATATTATTACCATTAATACTGTGACCATTTGGTAGATCTTGTTCGCCTAAATTTTGGCTGGTCAATGTGAGATTATTAATCCGTTTTGAAATCGGCATAAAATCACATGTGTCCTCGTCGCGTGACCGTTTTCTGAAATTCCAAAAAAATGAAAAATTATTTTTAAAAAAATATATATGTTGATACACATTCATTTATACACAAAGATATTTTTAGTCAATGCGAACAAAGAATTTCACAATGGATGTATAACGGAACTATTGTTATGAAATGTTGGCATTGTGTGATGTCATTTATCTGATGTCATGAACAATACAAAAAGATCTATCTTAAAGTCGATTGCTCCAAAATAGATATTTAAATGAACGAAATTGTTCATAATGGTGGTTTTGGACCACGTTCGGATCATTCGCATAACATGTCATTTCGTGTGTTGGCCTTTGTGTTTGTCAAAATAAAAATAAATTATTAGAAACGATGAATATATTTCTTTTCACACAAACCTCGTATCAGTGATTGCTGTCATTTTTGTGTATTTTTTACGTTGTTTTATGTATTTCGTTTCGTATGATTTTGTTCCTTGTTGTTGAAATTTTATTTGCTTTGTTCTTTGGTGATTTTTATTAGTATTTGCCTATTTTTTGACACCATACACCACTTGACACTATCAGCCATAAAAAAGAAAAAGAAAAAAAAATTGTTCACATTTAAAATTTTGATTAATTTCATTAAAACTCACAGTTTGTTTCTTCTTAATGATTTACCAGATTTTGAATGATCTCAATGCACATAAAATTTCAATTTGACATTGCAGGAGAAGGAAAAAACGAACAAGCAAGCAAAGAAACAACAAAACTCAACAACAAAATATTTGGCTCCCTTCTACTACTGGCTAATTACATACAAACGCAATAGATGGTTGACGTGAATAGACGATTTGCCTTTGTTGTGGAACGCACACAATCATTGCTTCGCTTAAAATCTATGGATTTTTAATGACTTTCAATAGTAGTTTCACAACACACATATAAACACACACGCACACAATGAAAATGCTGTGTAATATTGAACAATCAACTGTCAAAGTGTATACAACTGTCAAACGAGTGCCGATTTTCATACCGATTCGAATGACGTTGTCGATAATGAAACATAGTTCATAGTAAGTCATTCTGAAAATAAAAATAGATAACAAACTAAATGCCAATCGACATCTTATTTGCTTTTTTTTTTGACGCAATTCTTTGTGCAAACAACAAAGTTGACTTATCAATTGATGTAAATTGCATGGTGACCAGACATTCACTGAACTGATTAGATATTTAAGCAAGAAATATCAATTTCACACGTGTGAAGCTCGTGTGTGTTGATTTTTTTTCGCTTCATTTTCGATGGTATTTGTGTGTGAATGAGCGCACAGAGTGTAGTGTGCGTGTAAGTGTGCACGTTCGTATCGTATCTTCTCTGTCTAGCCCAAATGCATGACGAACGTTTAAATAAGAAATTCGACAGCTGAAAAAGAAATCAGAGTGGCCCATGTATTACTGCTTATAGGAATATGTCTGTGTATTAATACAGGTCGCGCGCATGTATATAAATTCATGCATTTCTGTCATAGAAACACTTCGAGTCCAAAACGGTGTTTGTGTCAAGTACATCGAGTTAGTTCGATTTGGATTCTTTTGCGTGAACTTCCTAAAAAAATCAGTGCTGCACAAATTGAAGCGAATTTTTTTTTCTTTCGTTCGTTCATTTCTTTTTCGGTGCATTACATCAATCGTAAATTGAATTAAAGAAGTACACACATATTTTAGTCACAAATAAAATCGAACGAATTCTCTTTTTTTTTCGCTGGTATTAAAATAACGGGATTAAATCGAACGTGAAAAAATGAACTGAAATCATCGTAAACTACTAAAAAAAAGAGTGAAGTTTACGTATGAATCGAAAAATCTCTCAGCAATAAGTGAAAGTGAAGATTACCTCACGACGTACACTGCTTCGTATCTATGTATTCGATAAAGAAAATTATATACGTATATTTATATTTTTAATGGTTTTTGAACACTACACGAAGTTCATGTCTAGTAAACAAATCAAATTAGTGCACTGTCCAGAAATTAATGCAAAATCAACCAAATGCTTTGGAACATAACAGACGAAAAACTAGCAATATTTTTGTTCCGTCTTCATCAAACACACAATTTTGAAACAATTGAAATAATCAATCATATGGCGGAAAAATAGAAATCACAGGCCCATTTTTGTGAAGTTCATGTATGATGTTTCCGATAAACGAACAGAGCAGACAATTTTTTGTGTGAATTCATTGAGAAATCAAAGAGAAAGTGAAAGTTATCTGTGTGCGTTTAAGCACATATATAGACACACAGTTCGCATTACATAATATACTACTCTTAAGATATAAAACATTTTTTTTTGTCGGATCGGTTTTAAATTCAAAGTAAAATATCAACAATAAAAAAAAATTCGCCAAGATATATGTACATCGAAAAGTGGTATTTTATCACAGAGTAACACTTTGCCCAAGCGCATTATATAAACACGCTTGTGGATTTCGAAAACCTGATTTTAGCAGACTGAAAAGACTCGATCCGGGTTAATTGAAGTGCAAACCATTTCGTGATATTGAACTTTTTTTTCATCATATTTCGGTTCCAAGAATTTTTCTCATTTTCTTTTTCTTTTGCGCTTACAACTTACGTTTGTAATTAAGAGGTCAAGTGACAAATTTTAAGTGCTAACACATCAAAATGACATCGCAATTGTTTCGAGCTCATGGCAAATTTTGCGCATCACATCCGTGGGAAGTGATCGTTGCGTTGCTAACACTAACAGCATGCATGCTATCAGTGGATCATGGTAAAAATTCAACACCGTTAAACAAGAATCAAGGTCGTGGCGATAAGAGCGATGGTGCATTCATTTCAACAATATTGATGACAATAATTGGATGCTGGGCGGTACTTCATAGTTTTTATCGATTTTTGAAATTAAATAAAATTGGTTCAAAATATATACCAATCACTGCCGGATTGTTTATCATATTTTCAAATTTTATCTTTACATCGATGATCTTAAATTTTCTGGGCGGTGAGGTGTCCGATTTAAAAGATGCACTCTTTTTCTTTTTGCTATTGATCGATCTACGACGTGTAGGTGCATTCGCACAATTCGTTTTTAGCGGTGCATCACAATCGGAGGTGGTCGATAATATTTCACGTGGCATGGAAATATTGGGGCCAGCATTATCATTAGACTCAATCGTTACAACGCTCATCATTAGTGTATGTACATCGTCTGGATTTTCAGAAAAACTATGCAGTTTTGCAATGACATCGGTGATTGTTAATTATGTTGTATTTATGACATTCTATCCGGCATGTTTGTCATTGATTTCGGACTTGTCAATGAACGGTCTTGATATTGGACATGCAAAACAAATTAGTACAGTATTTGAAGACGATCAAAAACCAAATCCAGTTGCACAACGTTTGAAAATAATCATGTCAACGGGATTGATGATTGTTCAATTGTGCAGTCGTTTTGTGTTTTCCGACAGTGACGCCATTCAAGCGACAAAATCACATGACGTCCCATCAAATTCGACTGATAAAACTGGCCTATCCGAACACGTTATGGAATGGATCAAAGTCAGTTCCGATCAAATTATCATTTTAATTTTGTTGACAGCACTTTTGGTGAAATTTATGTTTTTTGAAGAGCGCATCGAATTGACGAGTCAATTGAATCAGACATCAAAAATCAATTCACAAACGATCGTATCAAACACAGTAACCGGCATTGCAACGCAAACGAACAAAAAAATGCTTAATCAGTACACACAAACCGAAATTATCGAAAGGAATCGAACAATTAGCACACATTCAATAGATAGCGAATCAGAGGACAGCGGCGATGAAGATATCACAATTGAACCACGAACAATCGAAGAATGCCAGGAAATATTGAATACACACGGCGGTAGCCAATTGACGGATAGCGAACTGATTGCCTTAGTTCGGGCTGGTCATTGTCCATTGTACAAAATTGAAACATACTGCGACAATCCAACACGAGGTGTCAAAATTCGCCGCAAGGTCATTGCCGACAATGCAAACTTACCGATCGAAAAATTGAGTAATTTACCATACAAACATTTCGATTACACCAAGGTAATGAATGTTTGTTGTGAAAATGTGATGGGCTACGTTCAAATACCAGTTGGTTATGCCGGTCCATTAACATTAGACGATAAAAAGTATTTCGTTCCGATGGCAACCACAGAAGGTGCACTAGTCGCAAGTACGAATCGTGGATGTAAAGTTATTTCAATTCATGGTGTAACCAGTTTTGTTGAAGATATTGGTATGACGCGTGCCCCATGCATTCGATTCCCAAATGTACATCGGGCTTCGGTAGCTAAAAAATGGATTGACGCAGCCGAAAATTTCCAAAACATTAAAACTGCGTTTGATTCAACGAGCCGATTTGCGCGTCTACAAGAAATTCTCATCAATATTGATGGACCACAATTGTATGTACGATTTCGTGCATTGACTGGTGACGCAATGGGAATGAATATGGTATCAAAAGGTTGCGAAAATGCATTACGTTACATTAAATGCTCCTTCCCCGACATGACGATTATTAGTTTGAGTGGAAACTTCTGTTCGGACAAAAAACCAGCCGCTATTAATTGGATAAAAGGTCGCGGAAAACGAGTTGTATGCGAATCAATTGTAGCAGCTAGCGACTTGAGAAAAATTCTTAAAACAGATGCCAAAACATTGGTGCAATGTAATAAACTAAAGAATATGGCTGGATCAGCGATGGCCGGCAGTATTGGTGGCAATAATGCGCATGCAGCAAATATGGTGACAGCAATTTTCATTGCGTGCGGTCAAGATCCTGCACAAAATGTAACGAGCAGCAATTGTTCAACGAGCATGGAGTTATGCGGTGATAATAATGACGATTTATATCTAACATGTACAATGCCCTCATTAGAAGTCGGAACAGGTAAATATTGATGTATCTATTATTATTATTTATTGGTCGTTGATCGTTTAGAGCGCGAATATTTCCCTGTACGTTTTCTTCCTTGTATGTTGAACTTTAAAAATCGCATGTTAGTTTATTTTTATTTTTTTTTCTCGCTCTCTCTTTCTTTCTTTGTTTTATTGACACCATTCCACAACAAATTCATACATAATAATATGTATGCATGCCAAATTCATATATATGCAAATTTGATATTGATTTGATCCGAATGGCTTTCGATTTGGAATGAGGAAATCAATTGATTACCATTTCAGAAATCGAATCGACCCAAAAATAATTTGCATGTGTGCGTGTGTTAACAGTATTTTTACGGCGTTTCACTTTTTTTTGGAGTTGGATCTTTTTAAACACTTTTTTATACGATGGTTTTAATAGCATGTTGTGTATTCTTTTTATTTCTCTGTTTCGTTTGGTTTGAATTTTTAGTTGGCGGTGGAACTGGTTTACCGGGTCAAAGTTCGTGTCTGGATATGTTAGGAATTCGTGGTGCACATCCAACAACGCCCGCCGACAATTCAAAAACGCTGGCCAAAATTGTGTGCGCCACTGTAATGGCTGGTGAATTGTCGTTAATGGCTGCGTTAGTAAATTCTGACCTCGTTCAAAGTCACATGAAGCATAATCGAACGTCGGTTGCATCAGCGATGAATCAAACAGCAAACAGCAACATTAGTAGTAATTCATCGTCAAGTCCATCAACAGTGTCGCCGCCATCGTCATCAGCGTCGTCAAGCGCTCAGTAACATTAGATTTGTAATTTTTTTTTTGGTTCAAATTCGAAACCTGTCTTTGACTTATACAAAAATTTACACATAAATAATGTTCAAGCCATGTTATTTAAACTATAAAATCACACATACACACAAAAAAAAACATTATGTATTCTAAAGCGTTCTTTCTTCCTAGTGAAGGAATACATCAGCTTTTAAATAGTCTATATGCAAATTGTTATAATTTTATTATTGCCTTATGCTATGTACATGTTCAGATGAATGAAAAAGGAGAGGGAAGAAACTTTTTCTTTCTGTCTCCCTCTCTATTTCTCCAGTAGTAGTATATATATATTTTTAAATTAATGTTATCTTAATATTTAAGAAAACCTACAGATTTTATGAGTGTTGCCAATACAACATAGACCAATACCAATATATGTATATCTATTACGCAAAATACACACACACTCTCTTTTTCTCTATATATTTACAAGAAAATCGTTAAAGGTGCAGGATATGATAAAATTAAAAAAACAAAAATCATTCTATTTTATTTAATTAAATTCGGTTTTTGAGTGCTTACGAATTACAAACGATATTTTTTATAAATATTCTCAAATGAAGAAAAAAAAAACAATACACACCGGTCGTTTCATTTCAAACAAATTGGCTTATGAAAATCTATTTCAGAATAGAAACCAACTAACTAAAGGCATTCACCCGTTCGTCGTTTCTATGCAAGTATTGTAGCGTGTTTATTGTATTGAGTCGATTTCAGAACTTGTTTTTTTTAATTCTACGTTATACAATTCAATTATCCGGATTTGATGAATTTCATAATAGGTGTGAGCCAACTATGGGATTGGTTACTATGAACGACACAAAAAATGCCATTAAGTGTTGTGTCACTTATGTTGAAGGTAAATTTTCTTTATCATTTTGTATTACACCATCAACAATAGACATTCCTACATTCCAGGCGCATGTTTTTATCTAATCAATAGAAGCAAATAACAAATTTGAATGATATTCTTTCTAGTATTCTTTCTAATTGCAAATACTCAACGATATGATTTTATATCGTTCGCAGCTGATCGTGACCTTGGCAGTATTTTATCTATTACCAACGATTCGAATAATAACGATTCATAATATGGCCATCGAAATCAAGTATTGAGATTATATTGGTTTTTTTAATAACGCATTCATTGCTTTTTAAAACGATAAATAAATATTTGTTTTCAAATGGTTTGTAACGGTTGAATCAACAATCGTATTTGTGGATGAGCGATTAAAAACGTTGCATTTGCGACTAATAACATGTCATTTCATTTTCATAACATTCGCAGTTTACCTATTTTACAGTAGGTAAAAAAACAGCAACATATAAACATAGCCGTTCGTTAAATGAACTCATTAGTACATTACTTAGTAAAGAACAATTAGTGTTGTTGATTATCATTTGTTTTAATTGCTGAATTTATGTTTGTGCCTTCTTCTTATTTAAGGGTCAGTTTTATCTGTGTGGTCTCAATTTTTAACCTCGATAAGAATTTTAATTTATGTAAATCTGCAATTTACTGAACGTTTAAATTATGTCTGTCTTTTCGTATATACATTGACCGTAAATTACATGACATGACCGCAAATTTCAACACATGCAATCGATCACATAGCTTGCGATTGATCTACTTTCGTCAAATTGCGAAAAGTCATCTCTAAAGCTTTGCAAAGGCACGTGTGGCAAAAAATAGCAAATTTTATCGATCATCCGAAAACATTGTATGAATTTCTTGTTTATATTTATAAGTTTAAATATAGAACAATGAAATAAGTATTCTTCGATTATAACTTCGATGTTTTACAAATATGTGGATAGTGTGAATTTACGTCAGTCGAAAAATTAAACAAATCAACGTGAATGATTACAAATTCAGATTTCGTTTAAAGTCTACAAATTTGAAAATGAGAAATTCAATAAAATCTAACAACAATGCTTCAACAAATTTAGACTAATTTACGTCATTAATGGATGGAAAATTTAAGTGATTAATATTTTTCAAAAAAAAAAAAACAATTTGAAGCAAAACCTTACAATACTAAAATGTCTGATTGATCAATCACAGATTCGCAGGAGTTTGATATTTTATATGGAATTTTGCGTAAGCTAATTTTGCATAGTGAATCAAAAAAAGTCTTACAAATCAAATAGTATGTGAAACAACTTACCAGTATGGCTCGAACAAACCTACAATGGTATTTACAAAGAGCAATGATTGAATAAAAATGCGTCAGTGATTACAAATATTAACAGATTGGAGCAAATTTACCAATATACAAAACAAAGAAGCAATCAGTTAAACTGCGTCAGTTGGCGACTACATATTCACCACAATACAAGTCTATCGCATTACATTTTAAACTCAAATATTTGAATGTCATCTTCATTTTGGCAGGCGCCAGATAAAGTTGTCAAGTATATGTAATTGAATGAAATACTGAGGATGAAGCTACAAAAAAGAACATTTTATAAAAAGAATCGTTAACATGTTCCTAAAAAAATAATCCGGTTTAATGCAGGAAGTAATGTTACCACCGGTTAGTTAATTGGGAGATGAATCACACAAAAAACTCGTTCTTTTTTTTATGATGCATTAATGCACGAATTGAATTCTGAATATCATGTAAATTATATGAATATCTATAATGTATAAATAAAAGAATCCAAGAGCACTGCCGGGTCTTGCATAAAACGATGCTTTTCTGTTCATTGATAATATTTTACCAATTTAGATTTTTACATTTCGTTTTTTTTTCTGCTCATTCAGTTTTTACCAATACATAAGCTTGCCTAATATTTATTTATGGTTGGTATCTCAGACGATATCAAAAGAAATACAAACTGATCGGAAAAACTCATATCAAGCTATTTGTGAGAAATGCTTGAGGATTTCGAAATAGTAAATGTTGTCTTTTATGAAGACTTGCTGGAATTCCCATACGAAATCTCCATAACCAATGAGAGCTGCTAAAAACCTATGTGTATACAAATTTCAAAAAAAAAAATCGCACTTTGCTCTGCAACATACGAACATGGAATACAAATAGGCAACACGTTTTCAACTATACTTTGAAAGTTAGTGAAGTTTTTTTGTTATTTTTTTTTGTTCATCTTTCATTTTATTCTGACTTTTATTTAATTTACATAAACATGTAAGTGTAAATAGTTTTGTTCGCACCTACATTCATTCATCATCGCACAATGGAATACATGCGATATGGGAGAAAGAGAGGAAAGCAACGAACGACAAAAATATGCTCAATTAATTTTTTGGAACTCGCTTGTTGACGTATGTAAGAAATATATATTGTAGTTGATTTTTTTGTGAATCGATAGAAGGCTACACATTTTGTTCAGTTGACTCATATTCTATTTGAACAATTCAAGGTAATGAAATTAATGCATACATATGTAGATATATCTTTATAATATGTAAACAAATCATTGAGCGTGGATTTAATTCAGCTGAAATCAATTTTTAACGAAGAAGCGTTCGATTTCGCAAATAATCGCATTTCGAAACGTAGAAAGTGGGAGAATTTCGATCCATATCGGTTTTATGGTATAGTTCATTGTTCCGAAGCGCTCCACATTGTCGTGTGATGGGTGGTATGTGCGCAGCTGCAGGAATCAACCGGTGTGACATTCAATTATTATTATAAACAATAAAAATCTTGACCTGCCTCATTGCACGCACCAAATCAACACACCAATTCTCAATATAATATTCTCGCCGTTTGTTTTTTTTTGTTTTTTATTTTAATTTTTTTTTTTACATACGACGTGGTATGCATTAGTTTCCGCATTCATTTGTTTCCGCGTTGGGAAATTGGTTTGACCAAAAAAAAATTAACCCTTTGTTTTTTTTTCCTACCTTTTATGAAAGGCCTCTTAATGAAATAGTTTTTTTTTTTTTTGATTGAGTTACATCGTGGGCAATATATTTTAATGCCGTCTCATGAATCGGCTACAAATAGTCTAAATCTCATAAGGAGCTCGGGATGTGCACATTTCTTGTTTATATTTGTAAATCTTAGTTTTGATTTTGGGCATATGCATTAGATTTAAATGTTGAAGTTGTTCATTATTTATTTGCCATTAAAAATGTCTTTATCGATTGATCGATACTATCAGTTATTTTGTTTTGTTCACTTCTCAGTATCTTGAATCAAACAAAAAAAAGCAAAAAATGCATTTTTTTTCTTTCACGATACAGAACTTTACATATACTATAAATCTTAACTTTAACGACGTAAATAATGGAAAAAAATTAATCAATTAGTAATTTCTATACAAATTATGGCAATCGAATAATGATTTTCCTTCTACAAAACAAAATGTTCAATTTAAATTTTTTGTGGTTACTTTTTTTCATTCTTTTTCAAATCATTCGCATCATGTGCGGATATCGCATTCATTCATTGGTATATATTGATTTAATTACGCGTGTTCAATTACGTTAAGTGTAATTTCATTTTGGTAGTTCACATTTATCCAGATTAAAGCTCAACTTTTTTTGTAAGTGTGTGTGTGTGTATGCATGTCATTAAATGAACGCGGGAATCTGGCTTTAGATTCGTCTTCGCTTATTTGCAAGCGTTGGAGGCGGTGTAGTTGATGGGCTGCTATTTGATTCGTTCGAAATGGAGCCACGCGTACGTTTTTGTCCTCGTTTTGGTTGTTCGGCCATTATTTTATTGGCTACTTTTTTATCCAATTCCTTTGGCGTTTGCGGTCGGGTTTTGGTACTGGTACTTTGTGGTGTTGAGGCTTTAACTGCTGCATGGGAAATATCAATAAATTTCATTAGTACATCATCTTTATTTTCATCAATTTTTGTTCAATTTGTTGTGCATTTACCTTTGGTATTTGTTTCCGTTTTGATATCTATCGGTTTCTTTTCTTCGGCTTCAGCCAGCTTTTTAGTCATGAGTGTACTGAACTCCGACTCGGGCAACGAAAATTCCACCTCTTCTTCAGCAAATGGTACACGTTCCATTTGATCAAGTGCATCCAGATTGTACCATGTGCGTAAATGTGCCCAAATTATTTCAGGCGCAATGTCACGTTTCAATGCATTTGACATTCGTTCACAAATTCGCGCCATATAAAAATGTTTATTGATACCAACCGGCCGTAATCCGTCCAATGCATACAATAATTGAACCTCTTCTTCGGTACTCCATTCCAAATCATCCGGCTCTGAATTCTCTTTGACAGCCATTGTGCGTCGTTGCAATTGACTATGTTGTTCTAAATGCACCGTATTCGCTATTATTTTCCTTGATATTTTGCCAATTTTTCGTTGCTTTCAAAACAATTACGAAATTGAAATGATTTTTCAATATGTTTGCAAAAATTTTTTTTATCAAAACGAATGACAATCCAATGACAACGCGATGTTTATACGAATTGTGTTATATGAATGCAATGATGCAAATGCAAAAAGAAATAATGTTGTTTTGACTATGCTCAAAACTTTACGAAATTGTCTAAATTTTATGATGTTCGCTTGTGCATTTGACCTATTCACGAAAAAACTGTTTTCGTATGCAATTTCTTTCTATTCTTTTTTTTTTTTTGTATCAATATGCACTTTTGCAATTGTATTTGTGAAAATGAAAATTAACTAGAATGTGCTATATTTATTAAATTTGATAAGTCACATCTAGAGGTTCGGTGCTAAAAACTAAATATTTATTGGGTTGTTAGCACTGTATTTAACTGTCACATCAATACTAAAGTTATGCTCACAATTCAACGCCTACTTCTCAATATTTGTTCAACGATCTATTTTCTAATTCAATTTATGTGAATAAAAAAAAAAAAAGAAAAAAATTCAATTTTTTTCATCAAATTTTCGCAAAAATATCTCAAATGAAGATTTCGCATAACGAATTTAGTACAGAAAAACCGATATTTGTTGTTAATAATGAGTGTGTTCTAAATGTCAAGCGTTCGCCGGTTGTTTTAGCCCGAAACATAGCGACGACTGTCAACTGTCAATATAATAATGGCGATTTCGCCGCTGTCAACTTGACGAACACATTGTGTTTAAATGAACACATTGAGTTTACCACAAATGTGCGTGAGTGATGGCGACTTTTCAAAACACATTGCACGTGTCTGAGCATTCTGCCGACGGTAAATTATATGCTCTTTTGAGCTTCGATGGCAAATTAAAAGTATGGAATACAGAAACAAATGAATTACAACGAGAGTTTGTGCCAAACTTTCATTTAAATGCACCATTCACGTGTTTCACATGGATCACAGTCAATGGCACGTTGGGACCGCGCAAGGTGAGTTATACACCGATATGTTTTTTGTGTGTGCTTAAAATATTGAATAAAAAAATGTTTTTGTTTTGATTCAGACACCGCAAAAAAAGTCCCAACGAACAACAGAGTACATTGCCCTTGGAACTCGTAGTGGTGGTGTCAGCCTGTATTCATACAGCAAAAGCGAGGTAAGTTCTTATACATGATTGCCACCATTTTTTTTATATTGAAACAATGCACTTTCATTTCAGATCGAATGTACATTGAAAGGTGTTGGACATCAAGGTAGCATAACGGCCATTTGTCGTGGTACAAACAATGTTTTGTTTACATGTGGCGATGATTGTCGTGTGATCACATGGAACTTGGAAACTGGTTCACAAATATCATCATGGGAGATTGGCAATGAAAAACCATCGAGTCTTGTCTATTTAGCTGAATCAAATCGTTTAGTTGTTGCAGCTCGACAATTGTATCTGTGGTCAGTTGTAAATCAGGAGCTCGAACAAACCTATACCGGTCATTCATCCAGTGTAACAATGTTAAAATATTTTGTTATTAAATCAAAAGAATTCATTTTATCAGCATCAAAAGCAGATCGCATACTTACATTGTGGCGAATTAAAATGTCGAAAAAGTGTCCAAATTCATATTCATATTTGATGGAAGATATTGCCAACAGTGTTGCAACTAAAGTTGATGATGATAAATTGGAAATTGCGGCCGTTACACGAAGTGGTGTATTGCATTATTTTGGTGTGGATGGTTTGGCAAAAATTGAACAAATTCCATGTAAACCGATGAAACCAACGTTGACCATTGAAATTGCAAACGATTCACCACAATTAGTTGAACCAATTCCAATTTGTACAGTGGGTATGGAAATTGGACGGGCACAAAAGAAATTACAAATTGGCTATGGTGATCGTCAAGTGGTACGATTTGAATTGATTGAACCTGATTTTAATGAACGTCGACAGGTGCTCATTCGAAGCAGTTCAAAATCTGTGACCAATGATGCAACAACAAAAAAACGTACAACCAACGCACTGAAGACAATTGCACCGATTGTTAATATGGAAAGTGTTGAATTTCAATCGAAAGATGTTGTGCCGCGGAAAGGTAAAAATAATATTGAAATACCGATGGAAACACGATTGGAGAATTTAACATTTGATTCACTCGGACAAAGTAGTGCGGTTGGACGAAATGTGGCACAATTATTGGTTCAAGCACTTCATAGTCACGATGCAAATCTATTGAAAATGGTGTTTTTGAATAAAGATGAACAAATTATTCGAGCAACACTCAAACGTCTACCTCCACAATATATTTCGAGCTTGATTGCCGAACTCACAGCATTGGCACAAAAGAAAACAATCCAGTAAGTCGATCATAAGTCATGAAGATATTCTTTTTTTCTTTTTAACTTAATTTTTATTATTTTTGATTACAAATAGCGTTCACACATCAATTTTATGGTTGAAACATCTGCTTCAAACACAATCAAGTCAACTGATGGCCATCGGAACAATTGAATTGTACGCTACGTTCGGACCACTTCTCGGAATCGCTGAACATCGAGCAAACACATTCCAACAACTGACCAAGTAAATTAATGTACACATTTTTCTTACTTGAATTGGCATAAACGTTTTCCTTTTTTATTGATATAGACTTAGCGGGCGATTGGATTTGCTGGTGAACCAAATCAAACAAAATACAGATCATGACATCATTGAAGACTCTGATTTGCTAGTGTATGAAGATAAAGGTAAACTATTTTTCACTTCCAATTCACTGTGGTGACATAGGATTTCAGTCAGTGTAGACTCAATTTGTAATTCATGTATTGATAACTGTCATTTTCTTTCATCGCAGATTCATCAGACGAAGATGGAATACCACAAGAGGAAGAATCATCAGACGATCAATGGGAAGATGGAGAAGAGGAAGATGGAGTTGAAGGGATGGAAGTTTGTGAAAATGGCAACGACAGCGATATGGAGAGCGACAACGGAGATGATGATGATGATGGAAAAGATGTGAATGAAAGTGACTAGTTTCAAACAAAAAATTGTATTTTTATTTGAAATAAAGAAATTGAGAGAAAACAATCATATTAACATAAAAACGATTTGTTGGCATTCACGGAATAAATTAAGCAGAAAATCACGCATGTTGTTTACTTCATCTTTTGCTAGAAGATAAACTAGATTTTGTAGATTTAATTTTAAAAATTCAAAAATCTGGACCTCATCATTATCGATTTCTAAATCGAATTCCTCTGGATATTTTTGTATGAAATCAATTTGGAATTTACGTCTTAATCAAACTGGTCAGCTGAGAATGTAGACTAAATTTTTTAAATAGTCGTACCAATTGGGCCAAGTGCTTGAAATGGTGTGCGAGTGAGAAATTTTGTTTTCTGGCGTTCCTAGATATTTGGATACAATCTGCAGAGTCTGCTGATTATCAGGATGTACTATTTTTTTTACATGTATAATACCAATGTAGCCGAAAGTATTTTATTTCTAATTATTTGATTTCGTTTTTTTTTTTTTGGAAATCACTTTTTTCAGTGAAAATTCCTAGCAAATCGAATGAATTTTCTCGACGAAAAACCTAGCAAATCGAAATAATTTCTGCTATTTTTAACTTTTGTTAAGCAAAAAAAGGGTCTTCACTTTTTGAATCAAAATCCCTAGCATATTCAACTCATTTCCCAGTTGACGTGTACATTCGTTTGAGTACGATGTTTCTTAATTTGTAAACATGATTGGATGATGTTTTTACGTTGAATACAAAATATTTACATTTGATTTCAGATGATTCAGCCATTTATTTATTTCAAATTGTCTATCGATCACTGTAAGAGAGACTCATAGCATTTTTCCACAATTTTTCGTAGCAAAATGTGAAAGTAACAAAATGAATAACAACAAATGTGTTGTGATACATTATCACTACAATTATCGTAAAGTATACTTTAAAGTTTAATCGAAGCGCCCATATGATATGTGCGTCAATGGTGTAATGGTTAGCATAGTTGCCTTCCAAGCAGTTGATCCGAGTTCGATTCTCGGTTGACGCAGTAATTTTTTTTCCTTCCGTCATTTATATTTCTATTTGATTTTTGTTTAATATACCATTTTTTTCTTCTGTAATTGTAATTGGTCTATTTTCCTATAACTACACTTGCATCTCAAATTCAAGTCGACAAATTGCAATTTTTACTTTGGTGTTTGAATTAATATTCTGCTCGTGCAAATTATTACAAGAAAATTTGATATGGAGTATTTGTGTGCAGCTCGATGCCTTTTCAAAGAAGTCCTTCCCATTTTGAACGCATAAATGTTGCTCATTCATTAGTGTTCATTTGAAGGTGAAAAAAGGACATTTGTGTAATTTTACTCAGAAACTGAATTTTTTGGCAATTTTATTGCATTATTATTACAAGAAATGTCTAAAAGACGATTTCATGATAATATATATTTTTCAATAACATACAATTTAATTATTGACAATCCGATTGCCACTCCAACTCTGTGAAAAACACTTGAATAAATATGCGTCACTAGTTGGACTTTAAAATATATTTTTTATTATTATTGATTGATGGAATTGAATCAAAATTTTAATAGTCATTTACAAGCATTTCATCTGGTCCAATACATTTGCTTCTTCAAATTAAATAATTTCTTAAAACGAGCGCACACAGTATCTTTAAAAATGAGACTAAACGGAAGCAAGTTTGATAAGAATGTCGCTGACATTCATTAAAATAAACAACACAAAATAAAATGTACGTTGCTTATATGGTAATTGCCGATAATTGTTCGAGTTGGAACTATGTACTTTCATCAGCATCGGTGGTTCAGTGGTAGAATGCTCGCCTGCCACGCGGGCGACCCGGGTTCGATTCCCGGCCGATGCAGTAATATTTTTTTTATTTTTCATTTTAAATTGAAATAAACTTATCTATTAATAAACTCGTCATCAGTTTTTTACATCGAATTCAGTTTAAATTCAGGAAACGAATAAACAGACCATTCAATAATTTAATTGTCTAATTTGCTGTATTGAATTACTATTTCAAAAAAAAAAAGAATGAAGATGAAAAAGAAGAAGAGAATAAAATATAAAAAGGCAAAAAAATAATTCCCCTACCGGGAATCGAACCCGGGCCTTCTCGGTGAAAGCGAGATATCCTAGCCACTAGACCATAGAGGAGATATATGTATTTATGATATCGAATGGATTCGTTAATAGGTTTGCTATGAAGTGTGTCTAATGCATAAACACCGGACAATGTCATTGAATTATCGCCAAGGTGAAGTATTGAATCGTGAGGCGCTTGGAAGCATTAACACGACAATATAACTATATAACTTGTTTTCAAATGTTGTAATTTCTTTTTATAAACTTCATTTGCGTGTTCAATTCATATTCATACATCAAAGGAGTACAAATACATAATTAAAAAAAGATAATTAACTGCTATAAACTTTAAATCCTTTTCTCGAATGCGCAATTCGCAGCTATTTTGAAAACAATACGTAATATGATTTGGTTTGGATTAAAGTGATCTGAAATTCCGTTGAAAATGAAACGGCATACTTTTGTAAAGACTTTTTGTTGTTTGACGAAATTCGAATCATATCTGAAATAATAAAAAAATGTACAAATCACACTTGCCCTGAATATGTTTTGAACAGATTTGTGGATTCAAAAAAGTGATTCCCCTACCGGGAATCGAACCCGGGCCTTCTCGGTGAAAGCGAGATATCCTAGCCACTAGACCATAGAGGAGATATATGTAAATATGATCCAAAATTCCACCGGTTTCAATTGAAATTTAACGATTTACATGTTTTCTTTTAATATAAGCTACTTAAAATCTCAGTGCACTCTACATTAAAATATGAATGAAAACTATAGAACTAATAACAAAACTAGATTCAGGTAATCGTCGCGGCGCATCTTTTATTTGTTAATAAATTTGAAGTATACATTGATCAATGATCATTAATAAAGAATTTACTAAACAGAATGGCCAACTTTTATCGATTTTAGTGCCATTTTCGCAAACGGAATACAATGTGAACAAACTATGCAATCGGTGTCGTTTTGAGGACCTCTTTAATGCAATCTCTCAGTTTCGCCGCATATTCACATTCGTCGCTGTCTTTTATCAACGCACATTGGTCGTTAATTTTGGCTGTGATCGCGGTGTTTTCCTCTGGATTAAGATTCAAAACACCATTCACAATCTGCAAAAATGTAATTTTTAAAAAGAGCTTTCAAACATATGACAAGCATAGCTAATCATTATACAACATGCAATCTCTAGTAGAATTATTCTTATATGTTTTTTTGCTAGGTGGGTATTAATTAAAAAAAGATAATGTTTTTCTTTTGAGGCTCTTTGAAATTTACGACAATGAACTTTGAATTCAAACACACAACTGGAATATTTATGATCGCCGTTTGATATCAAATTGAATTTGAAATAAAATTGAAATATACCGTTTTTTGTGCCTCTAAGCCGCATTTTACAAAACATTTATCCTTTTTGGATAGTTCTTTGCTGCTGGATGCATTATCAACTGCAATCTCACTTCCTGGGAATTTTTCACGGCATGCTTTAATGGCATTTCCCAGCTCTTCGTTTGCCTAAAACAAACATTTTCATTTTCATTTTTGTGTGATTTATTGTGAAAAAGGTTCTCAATTTTGATATCATAAATCAATTAATTGTTTTTTTTTAATCATTTGATCTGAAATATTAAAGACCCAGCTGTAAATAGATTTTTCTTACCGCGCTTGATGTCCAGAATAAAGCAATAGTCAAAATAAAAAAATGTATGGACTTCATCACTGAGATGAATAAATCTTCGCACACAATACTCAAAATATGAACGAATACTGAAACCGATTTTAATGGATTGCCTCTATTTATACTTCAATTTATCTAACATCATTCCATACTCATTTTTAATAATGCAATATCACACGTCCATATGTCAAATCACATAATTTGCGTAACATGTTTTGTGATCACCGTTTTGATCGTTATTTATAGTCGTTAGGCGCACGGAAGCGTGAACAAAGTGAAATATTTTTTTCATGCTGATTATTTTCTTATTCACTTTAGTCGTGCCTGTAATTTACATTTGAATGTTGTATCTAAGATCATTAAATTCAGATAAGATATACATATTCATTAAAGTCGTCCGTAAAACAAGTTTATGGAATCGAGATCCACTTTGGTGAAATACAGAAGGAATATCATGTTTGCCGTTTTTCGACGAAATATGAAACCAACCCCCACTACGTGTTTTTACAACGGAAAAAAGAGATTTTTTGTGAATTTTAAAAGTGCTCAAAATCCGTTAATCGAGAAAACTTCTTCGAGAAAAGTCTTCTAGGAGGGAAATTCCCTGGGCACCACAGATTAACTTTTGGATGAAACCAAAACAGCAAACATGTTAACTTTTCATTTATTTCACCAAACCGAATGAGGCGCCTCGATACCATTAACTTTTTTTGAATCACTCTAATAATATTCATCAAAATACAAATGTACACAGATCATAACAAATAATCTACTATGGTTTATATGGAAAATAAAAGATGGATTTTGTTTTTTGATTTGATTTTGTGGCAATATATTCTTGTCTCTCTGAAGTGTCCAATAGAAGTATACAGATAAGAGTTTGAATTTCTCCAATGTGTTTTTTTCTTGGTTTTTTTTTTTTTTTTAAATAGCACAAATGAGCTGGTGAAAACTCAAAAGAGGAAAAAAAAACTTTCAAAATGCTACATAAAAATGAATGAAATCCAAGTAAGAAAAAAAATTATGCCGAAACCGTGGATTGAACACGGGACCTTTAGATCTTCAGTCTAACGCTCTCCCAACTGAGCTATTTCGGCACATGTTTCATGGGGGCTAGATGATGAAAAGCTTATACTTTCCATGTGTTATTCACTATTAATTCCACGAACAGCGCCGTTAAACGTTCCATTTTATCACATTATCAATTGGTCACAATGTCATTCGAATTAAATCAATGCATTAATGCATGAACAATTTTGCCGCATAGTCTATGAGAGATAAAATCAACAATTAACTAAGTATTGTTGTTTTTTCCATGATAATGTCAAAAACAATTAAAATTACTCATTCATGAAATATATATATACTTCGTTATTGTATTGTAAACATTCATCGTTTTTTGAACATTGTTCAATGTTTGCTCTTTAACATTTGATCACATTGATAGCACCGACAGCTATGTTGTGTCATTTAAAGTAAAATTTGTGTCATTTAAAGACATTTAAAAAAAAAAATTTAAATCATTCAGCATATTTTTTATGTTTCATCTATATCAAAAACATATATATATATTGAGAATAATTAAATTGTATGTTATAAAAATCAAATTAATTTAAATAATATAATTAAATGGACATGCATAAGCGTTCACGTTCACATTGAAAACGTTCAATCGCTTGGCATTTTGACGTGCATTGTGAACGTTTCGAAGAACGCAGCCATTCTGTCAACACATTTGACAGTATTGTGACTTTACAAACAATCTCGTAAATAAACGCAGTGAAATTAATGAAACTCATCTGAAAATCCTTAGAATAAATAGGATTTTGTTTGAAAATTTCGACAAATTTTCAATCGACTAGAAATAAAATGGCAAATGATCGTGAAGTGTTGCGAATCATATGGGAAGGACAGATTCCCATTTGTTTTCAGGCTGATCTAGACGAAGCAAACGCTGTTCGACAGCCTGAAAACTTTTATTTGATGGTGTCTCGTCTTTCATATTTGCCACTGGTCACCGATAAAGTAATTACAACCGATAAACCATGGTGTTTTGATATAATAATATGTGTGTTTATTCATTGTAGGTTAAAAAGCACTTCAGTAGATTCGTTTCAAATGATGCACAAGAGGGCGAAGTTTGGTTTGACTCAAATGGAATCCCATTGAAATGGCACTATCCCATAGGTAAGCAAAACTTCAAAATAAAATAAACATTTATCAAGTGACAAATCGTAAAATAATTAATGCAATTTTAGGAGTTCTATACGAATTGACAAAACGTGACGACGAATTACCATGGTGCATTACAATCCATTTCAGTAAATTCCCAGAAGAAATTCTATTTCGATGCCCAAACAGGTAAGCGAACTATATAATACGGGTTTTTGTCTGAAATGTTAAAAGGATCGGATATTTTAATGTTGCAGAGAAATCGTTGAATCACACTTCATGTCATGCCTCAAGGAAGCCGATGTGCTGAAACATCGCGGACAAGTTGTATCAAGAATGCAGAAAAAAGACCACAATCAATTGTGGCTGGGATTAGTCAACGATAAATTTGATCAATTTTGGTCGGTGAATAGGCGTCTAATGGAACCAACCAGCGAAGATGGTTTCAAATACATTCCAATTAGATGTTACAAAGAGGTTGGTCGAATTCTGAATGTTTTTCTCTTTATACTAAGCTTTTGAAATATTTCACGGATGATTCACATTCGAGAGAATTCAAACGATTTCAACACTTTACTTTTCATCGAATAAAAAAAAATGTGACCATTTCGTTTAAAACAAACTCATCAAAATAATGTGATGTGATGTTTTGTTCTTTTAATCGTTTGTCTGTGTGACATAATACAATCGGACAATTTTAATCTGCCAAACCAATTAAGAAGACAAATGAGAAAATTACCTAACACACGCGAATGCCAGAAATGTATAGCATGTAGTTGGCATTCGTATCAAAGGATACTCCTTCTCTTTCTTTCTCTTCTTCTCTTTGTGTTTGTTTTAAAAATAAACGGTAAATTATTTCGATTAATTTCATGTGAAACACCGAGCACACTGCATTTCAATTTTGGCCTGATGCAGTCACCTATAAATAAAATACACTGATGATTTTGTGTTGTTTGTCGGTTTTGTCTTCGATGTCATCATCATCGGTGGAAAGCTTGGCGCTTGTTAATAACAAATGTGTCATATGGCAGATTGTAAACAACAACTCAAATATTATCAATGATAAAACAAAAATAAAATTAAGTAACGATTCTGTTTCTCTACCTCTACCGTATATCTCTCGTTCAGCGTAACACCGAAATGAAATTTTCGACAAACATAACAACAATTGTCACTCAAAACAATCCTGACCTCGCCAAATATCGAATTTGTTTTTCACTTGTTTTGATTGTATATTGATGGCTCATTGCGATTTTTATTTTAATTTCAATAGGATGGGACGTATATACAAAAATTGGTGCCGCCCAACAGTGATAACGGATTAAAACGCACCGTGCAAAATTTACTGGACGATTTTTCAACACCTGCACAAAAAGCTGGTAAATATAAAAATTCTTTCAAATAATCTTTTATCGTTGTTTGCATTGAAAGTGCACTTATGAATGTCGTTCATGTCGACATTTGAACATTAAAAACGGAAGAGTTTTTTTTTTGTTTATGGTAAACAGAATCATTTGCCCATTTATGATTAATTAGAAAACTGCATGAAAATGAATGCATTTCATTGTTTTTCTTCTTTCGAGAGTGAAAAAAGAAAATATCGACTAAAAAAAACCCCGTCTTTTCAAAGTGAATGTTAAACATTTCAACTCAAACAAAATGAACTCTGGTCGATTAAATAGACATGGTTTGTGCATTTCAACAAACGCATCGTCGATTGTTAGCCCGTATATAGTCAAAAAATGTCGTTGATTGTGTTTTTTTTTGCTTCGTATCACTGAAAAATGAAGAAAAATTTCACATGATTTTTCAAATACAATGTCGAGAATAAGAAATGATTTTTTTCATAGAATCCCATTAAAATGGAATATTTTCTCTGGATTTGATCGAACGGTAAAACATTCATTTCAGCATTTGAAATGAATGAAAAAAGCCATAGGTCATATGAAGACGCGAAAAGAATAAAGAAAAAAAAAACGAACGATTAATTCCAAAACAGAAACAGACATAACAAAGCGATTTAAGCACCGGCTTGGTTGGCTCACATGTACAATACAAAGTAAACGAGTGAAGAAAAAAAACCGCGTGTTTTGTTTTAACTTTGTTCCTATCGTGGCTCTAGTCGGCGCGTTGTTTTCCTCTTAATTTTGAACCAACATTTGTGCGTGCCTTTTTTCGAAAACTTTTTTTCATCGTCTTCTTCTTCTTTGCTGTTTTTTTTTTCAATTGCTATTTTTCTCGAGTTCCCTTTTTTTACTTCTCGTCTCTTAATTTATCTTTTTGTTTGTCAAATGGAATTCATATGATTTTTTGCGTTTCTTTTCACAATACGATGGCAGGCATTCGGTTGCATACATATGATATCGCATTGTATTTTCATTGCCTTATATAGACTTGTTTTTTTTCTCGTGTTTGTTGTTTTGCCTTCATATCGATGCTCTTGTTGATTTTGTTTTCCTCCTTTTTTTCAATATTATTATTATAATTTTGTTGTTCGACGAAATATCGAAAAAACGGGAGAAAAAAAAATGTTCATGTTTGCATTTGTTGAGTTCATGAAATTGATGTAAAATGACCAAAAAAAAATACAACCACTCGACATACAGCAAAATGTACACACCAAAAATTCGAGGATAAATAAATTTGTATATATACTTGCGCCGTTTATGCGACGATAAAGTGAGAAAAAACACACGAAAAATGCAACACAAAAAAGAAATAAAAATCGAAACGATTAAATAAAACAAGAGTGAACAGAGAGAATGGAAAAACGTACACAATATATTGTACATATATCGAAATGTGTATATACTGTGTGAATTCACAAACAAAATACGCACGAGAGAAGGAACAGATATGATGGAAAAAATAAAATACACACACAGCTTACACCAAATTGGGAAAGAAAAACAAAGGCGAACACGATGAAGCAAAGAGAGGTGTGAACATTTTATTAGCATTATCCGGAGCAGCGCAATCCATTCTGTTCCATTCTTGGACATGATACTGATTTGCCTGAATTTATTTCTGCCTTCTTCTCATCATGCTTGTTTGTGCCATCGTAAACGTGTACACGCGCGTTTCTCTCTTATTTCAAGACTATCATATTTGAAAAATGAAAATTGTTCGTTTTTTTTTTCGATGTGCGCGATATGTTGCGACCATACCGCCAAATTGATCGCGCCAAAAATTGGCTTAGTGGTGGGTTTCTTACTTCTCGAGAATTTGCCGCGTTAGAATCATGAATAGAATTTAAAAATGTTACATGGTACGATTTTCTTTTATTCAAGTGCAAATGATCACGTTTGCACATCTCACGATTGGATTTGCATCGCAAAGCATCTATATACTTTTCGTTGTTGTATAAACTTAAACACCTATATTGTTTTTTTTTCGTCGAAATTGAACTTAACGATTTGCAAATGGAAAAATTCCAAAAAAATGTTTACATTTTCGCTTTTAAGAAGTCTGGCGTCGGTTTTCAATTGTATGATGCAGTTTTTTAAACTTACATTCGTTTTTCTTTGCAAAAGCCAATCGAAGATGAATAAAATTCAGAAGAATTCAGCTAAATTCATCGATGATAGAATTTTAAATATCTACCTTAATATATCGTCATTTTATTCGAGTCATTGTTTTGTTGTGCAAAGGCGCTAATATTTTTATCATGCCATTGGAGCGTGTTTCATGCGTGTTTTTGCATGTACATCAAATCGTTTGACGCACAAAAATTAGATGAATGGTGCATGATTTCTGAGAAATCATGAATTTTTTGTGTCTGTTTCAAATGTATTTTATTTTCATCAGAAACAATTGTTAATTATCAACACGAGCTTTTCTTCGTGATAAAATTAAAAACAAGAACAAACGTCACCACAATGGTATGTACGTATGTGACATTTCTATAAAAACCGAAACTTTTCAACTAACTAAACCAGACGACGATATATCGTATGCAGCAAAATCGTGTAAGCACCAATAACACACTATATTTTTTTATCACGATGGCGCGCGTGTTTATCGCAGACACATCAAAATATTTAACGCACATTTGCATTTAGTCGAATAAATATTTGTTTGGCAAACGGCAAACAAATAACGTTTGGCGCCCCGGTACATATCGACACATTTTAAATCGCGAAAAAACACATAATGTTGCCATGAAACAAAAAGAAGAAAAAAGCAAATTAATCACATTTTGGCACTCTAACCACTCGATCGTATTCAAGTGTGAAAAAAAATGATCATCATTCATACACATACATATATCTTCGGTCGGAATCTCATTTTTTTTGCTTGATTTTCAATTTCACAAAACTATCGCAATTTATTTATGAATTTATATTCTATTTCTGCAATGGTATTTGCTTTTGAAGAATTGATCGTCTTTTTTTTTGTTCGAATCAAATTACATATTAAATCATGCACATTATTACATTATAATTTAGTATGCTTTTGGCATGACAGACAAATAATTATGCATTTGCAAATGTTGCTAAAATAAGTATGAAACGCCATTAAATTAAATCGAAACTCATTCATTCAACAATAATATCAACTACGTCTGGTTATTGTTAGCGACATGGTTGGGTCTGATAAGGGCAAACACGTTCATCATTAGAAAATATGGTTAAAATTCTTCAATAAAATAAAACGACCAGAATGAACGATGATGAAATATGCTAGTTAGTAGATGTATTGATGCCTTAACGAACGCATCGGTAGAACCCAAATCAAGAAATAATAATAACATGTCGTGTTTGCAAAGAACCACGTACATATGGCCATATTGAGAATACGTTCGCGTACAATATCGGCTCGGTGAACCTTATGGACTACACACTGTATAATTAAAACGATAAGACGTGCGAAGAGCGAGAAATAAGAAATCAACTCAAACATTTATGGAAAAGAACGTTTTTAAATATGGGAACGAAAGATATGAAAGCGCATTTTGAGTGAGTGCAAATGCATTTGGTATGTGACTATGCGCTGGCTCTGGAGTCACAAAGTCTGGCATTGCAGTTTTCCATTCAAAGTTTGTATGTGCGCGCGCACAAATGGAAAAGCAAGTAGAAAAAAAACCTGAACCAAGCAAACGACGATCGAAAGAAGGAAAAATAACACTAGCAACAACAACAACGGTTGCAGCAGAACAATGTGCGCGCCAGCACACACAAAACGGCAAAAAGAAAGAAGACAGAGAGATGGAGAGAGAGAGAAAAGAAAAAGGAATGATGCATTTTATGTGTTGCAACTGAAATATATGGATCGAGTATGCACCTCACCGAAACAGAGAGATAAAAACGCATTTCGCATTTTTACAGTGTGCAGGCCCATTAACTTCTGGCCATTAAATGCAACGCACATATTTTATGTGTAAATTCAATCAGTATGTAGTTATATATATATGTGTGTGTGTGTTTTTTTTTTAAATTCAGTTGGCCTGGCTCATGTTCACTCACACCAAACGATGTGAATCGAATGCAAACTCGTTTGTACTATTTGATTCTTTGAAAGCCTCCAACAACAAAAACAACAACAATAACAAGAAAACTGTAAAACGGATCGGATTTCTCCGTGTTGCCTCTTTTGCCACTCTCCTTCTCTTTCGCCAGCGCGTTCGCACTGCATACTTATTTGTTCAAAGTGTTTTTGGTCGATCGTATTATTTTTGTTGTTGTTGTTGTTCTGCATTACTGTTGCATTTGAAAATGTTCTTCACTCTTGCTCCCACTCTTATTCTGTTCGGTTCTCGTTCTAAATGAGAATCGTAGACATTGTGTCACTGGCAGGCTGCAGCCACATTGCATTTTTCATTTTAGTTTCTCTTTCTATCTTGTTGCCATTATATGCCAATTCTATATAGTGTGATAATCGGTTGTGTTGTGCGCGCTTGCCGTTCGTGTGTTGTTTATGTTTGCAGTTGAATTACAATGCGCACATGCACTTTTAATAATTCTTTCGATTCCCAAGTTTTTCCGTTTGTACATTTGATTTTCTCGTCGATTCGTTCGTCATTATTTTTTATCGTTTGTTTCTTACCATCTCTCTGTCCCTCTTTTGGATCGTCGTCGTTCTTGTATATTTCTGTACTCACTGATCGTTTATAGTTCTTTGGTTTTCATTTGCTTTGCTTTGCTTTGCATCGTTCGTTCGTTCTTGCTTCGAATGGATGTTTGTTTCATCTTTTCGTTCTTATTTGTGGGGCAGAACGTGTCGACACCAAGTCTACCATTGCCGATTTTCAAGTGAAAATTCATCGTATAGTGAACAACGTAATAAATATTCGAATTATTTGCTTTGTTCACGATGTCGTTTTCGCAGACAAAAGCTCAAAATTTCTGCGAAACTATACGCCACATCACCGATTCAATTT